AACTTCTGCAAGCAGGAAATCGCGAATTATTTTTCCGATGCCCGCTTGCTCAAAATTCGCATGGCCGTCTGCCCCCGGCGATTATCTGAGTAATGAATCAGAGAGTAAGCTGAGGATGTGCAGTGGCTTCGTGGTACTTGATGGAAATCTCCTGAACAGCAAGGATTTTCTCAAATTGTACAAGAAAACTTCGAAATCTTTGACTTCAGCTTCAACTATCGATATCTGCAAAGTGATTTTTGGAGGGAAATTATGGGAATTTCTCGAAGCAAAAACTTGAACACGCGGCTACAATGGAATTTAGTACTGTAGTCCGTGAGCTCAAATGGGCCATAATTATTGCCAGGTCGTTTCATGCAGTTGTACCTTTTCATTGAACTTACGCCAGTCATTACCGTTTTCAAGCGCCGGATAGACATCAACACCTGTTTTTACGTCAAACCCTTGAATGCCTATAAAAATTACCATAACTCCTTTCATAGGCTTCGCAGATAGAAAAGCAAATTTGGAATCAGCGTTCCATGCTCTATAAGATGGTATACATTCCATATGGAAACTCAGTTCGACCAAGTACCCCTCCCTTGTAAGAGTCTGATTGTCTATACATGTCGCCGAAAGGTGAGATCGGACATCTGCTACAAGTACACACCACTTTCAATATAGGTGTATGTTTGTTGCATGTCCGCGCGGGACTTCCTCTTTCGGAGACATATATCCCTCTACACTAAGCTCAAGCTCCTTGAAGGCAGCGTGCAGGCACCTATCCCCAACTTTGTATGCAGCGGACGAATAAAATCGACTTGCAGGGTTTCGTGGATCCATCACGAACGGCGGTGCGAGCCGATGCCAGTCATCCGCAAATACATTAGTGGGGTCTGGTCTGGGGACGAATATCTCAGCCGGAAGCGCACCATCTGCGCTGCTAGGCACAGTCTTTGGCTCTCAAAATCAGTCTCCACATGCAATCCCATGTGTCCAAAATTGCCTTGGTCGTTGTCTTTGATATCTCATACTCGAGTGTGAGGATACACATAAGAAGAAGTAGTCTGGGCTGATTCCGAATGTGTACTTACTTCGGGTTCTGTTGAAAGACAACTGTAACAGTTTGGAAGATAATCTTTGGAATTGGCTAGCAGAGATTTTGTAAGCAGCTGAAAGAGAGGTTCTCGCAATACGAAGTGCCAGGAAACATCAGCGAATGTTCTCCGCGTAACATCGAGCGTGTTTCCCCAAGATTGGGCAGCGGGAGCGACATTGCATCAGGAATGGGTAGCGAGACAAGACTTTGCGTCGGAAACCTCATGCCAAAAACGTCATAGAAATGACCAATTTGTTGGGGAAGTCTGAAGTGATATTATTTTTGATCCACGATCCTTTGGTCTTCATCGATATGCTTTTTGCTTTTGAGAGACTATGTTCCCTGTGACGCCTGCATTCGTTATGAGGATCAATACAAGGGCAGTCTTTGAGAACAGTAGGGGTGGACAAATCCCAGTCTGTTTTTCGCATGATCAGCCATATTAACGTGTTTGTAGGTTAGGAAAGCGGAAGTCGTACATATATGCGTCAGATGAGATTACAATTGTTAAAGCACCACAGGTTGCTATCATAAGCTTCACGTATAATAGTACAGTACTGTATAGCTATCGCAGCCAAACTATGGAAGGATCTACAAAATTGGAAGACAAAAATTCGGCAAGAGAGAAAACTCAAAAAAAGACTACCATTTAGCCAAGTGGCGGTGGTGAAAGAAGGAAGAGAGGAACAAGCGAAGACACTGAACAGATTCGACTAGTGATCCTTCCTTACTGATGAGTTCCGGGGGAGCATTATCAAACAGTCTAAAGCCTAAGGCATAGCGCGATTTCCTTCTTGAGGGTTATGACTGCGTTGGACCGAATGTGTCAGGTGGTCCATTTGGTCTTCAAACATGCCTGCTCATGTAGTTGAAAGTTTCCTGCTACTTTGCCAAAGAGACTGTCTTTTTCGAGAGAGCATGAATATATACATTGAACGATTTCCTTTTAGAGTTCTTGTCTAATATTTCTCATATGAGAGACGAAGTTTCCAACAGGTAAAACAATCTCTCGTCAAATCTCTTAGCAAGCTATTTCGTAATAGTTCCATGAATTTTAATTCCGCATTCAGTAATATTTTAGCATCGCTTCTGTCAAAACACATTCTGTAAAGGCAATTAAAACAGCTGTGCTAAGGGTCATGTATATTTACACCGTGCGTCATCAAGCGGACTATGTACACCATATTTTTTCGGAGCTTCTAACAAAGCTCCGACCATGTTGCAATATGTAATGATTTGCAAAGACTGGCTTGAGTCTAAAATTTCAAATGGCGAACTTATATCGATACCGAACATTTAGAAAAGCGCTAAATTTCCAGCTAGGATATCCCCTTATATCCTTTTTATTTTTTGGTTCAGTCAATATTATAGCCAAAGATATAAAATGATGTGTTTGGACAAAGTAAATTTATAAAGCTACCCCTGAGAGTCCAACATGAAACCAGTGTTGCCCTGTGGTCAATCGCTGGGCTCAATTTGGCTCAACTAGTCTCACGCAAAACTTAACAACAAAGTCTTTTACTTCTAACAATAAGAGTCTTAACTTTACATTACTCTTTGGTCCTGACCAATCAGGGATTTAGGAGCTCGATGTTTCCTTGATTTTGGATTTGGTACAAAAGACTTAAATTCGAGCCTTGGAATGCCGGAATTTGTAAGACCAATAAGAAAGGTATTTGATTCTATAGCAGAAAAATAGTCACTAGTTAGACGTGAGTGCCTCATAGCCAAACCTGTCTAGGTTTGAGTACCGTGTTAGGAGATTTTTCTTCTATTTCGAGAAACTGCTGGTGTAGATGCTCTTTCAAAAGTCCTCTTTACGATATCAATACCCAAATAATATTTGGATAAGCACTTTTTTTATGACCGGCCTGAAATGGTACAAAGAATCAAGGAATTTGGATGAAACTCTGCACACATGAACTTCGGAGTGGGGAGGGTGTCACTAAGCTTTTTCACCATATAAGGATTATCGATTTATCGATTTTGTGTTTTAATCTCTGTTGAGCTGTGGCAGGAAGGGATAACTAAGCATGGTTGATTCGAATAAAATATCTACAACTTTGTCAACATTGTCACTAAACTTTTTACGTTTTTTTGATTTTTTGTATGCCACATTCTGGAGGCTAGCTGATATTCAACTATGTATTTACCTTTCGCAACGAGTTTCTTCGACTGCTTAGCTCATCAACAAAACCAAATTGGTTCATCGGCGAGATGAAATATGACCACCAAATCAAAATACCCTATTCCGGCCTAACGGGTCCATTTATATCATGCCTTCATCGATCGTACCTCCTTCGACTACTTTTACTCCCGAGACTATGGCGCAAACTTTCTGCAAAAGCTCACATTTCCGCACAGAGTACCAGACGAACCTGCCGCGTAGCGGCAGAGAGAGGCTGGTGTATAATATTCCTATCTGTTTCGCTTTGTTGTTTTTCACTCACCTGATGAGACTGTGATGCAACCGGGAGATGAATACACTTTAGATCGTAGTAAGCTGAACTCTTATGAGCATACAAGAAGAGATGTTTGGCCGCTCATACTCTCTGAGGTCTTGACGGACGCGTTCGACTTCACCTTCAAATGGACTGATTGAGTGCGAACCTTTACACTCGCCTGCTGGAGTCAATCAATCACCGACTCGGTGCTTCAGTACTCCTAGATTAAAGCTACTCCAATCTATCATGTTCTAAATTGGACGTGATCACACCGGGTCATAGCGGCACCTTACACCACTATGCGGTCCTCCCCGACATTTCGCATTGGCTGAGAATACTTGATCTAGTTTACGCAACAAATTACGGTTATGTCATGTTTTTTATCTTTTGAACTTGAGCATTTACTAGTAAAAGTTCTCAAAAATGTAAGAACAAACAATCATTTTACCGCACAAACCTAGGATTGGTATAACATCGTACGATCTCATGTGAGAGTGGCGGCGCCTACTCAAAATTCTTCGGTGATTATTCCCGCAATGAAACTTTTTGTAGAATTGCACGTAAAGTTTCCGCGAATAAGCCTTTGAAAAATGTAAGTCCGGTACAATTCGATTGGATCAGATCAATAACTATCCCATTCTCTTCTACTCTCCCATGTTTGGTTTCTATGTAGTATTATTCTTTGTCATTGCAGTCATAATCAAAACCAAGTTTATACGTTCAAATGAGAAAAGTCAAGAAATGCTCACTTTAAATCGAGATATAGGGACGCCACGCAAACTTTGTTGAATCGCTGGCCGCTGAAATTTTTTACATGAGCTATTAGCGGTATTGTATGTGATGACATTGAAAACATGATGTGAAAGTATCTGAGTGAGTTTTTCTTTTACGTTAACATTCAATAGAACATGATGCCCCCCTAAATGTTTAGTTTTATGTGCTTTGTATGTTCGGCTAACCTAGCCATACTTTCAAAACTAAAGTAGAAGCAACAAACTAGAAGGGTTTCTCTTCCCAAGGGAAGCAATATGTCTTTTTTCTTTGTTTTAGATGGTCATGAATTACAAAAAAAGTTATTCAACATTTGAAGTAAATTTCAATAACAAAATAAAATGCTTTTCCAAATATCGGCTATTCAAAACATGCCAGTCAACATTTCATTTATTGCTCGTGATTCAAAGTTTCAACGAAAGTAATCTCATTTTGAGCCAAAAAGAGCCGTCCTCCAGCCAAAAAGAGCCGTCCTCCTCATCATGTGATCCTCGTTAATGTTCAGAATATTTATTTAGACGAAACTTTCATCTGGAAGCTTCAAAATGTTTTTTAATTTCCGTCTATATAATGTCCTGAACAAACATAACAAACATAACTGTGTCCTCCTGTCAAACGACATTGAACTGTGCGTTCAAGTTGAGCGCCAGGTCCTCGTTCTTCCTCATTGCCATCATTTTCTCTGATCCTAGTTGTCAGTACCGTCATCCAATGACGTTTTGATATTGTTCAGGCTCGAATGTACTCTCAATTCTTCTGCGCAGTTCTAACACTAACCATATCATGCCTGTCTAACGCCTACATCACTAACAATGGACGTATGAGAACTTTTGGGACTTATAATGTACCCAAGCTGGTAACGTCTTTTTAGCTTACAAAAATAACTCGTTAGTCAAACGACACAGAAAAGTATTCACTAAAGAAAAGTAATCAAAGTTTTGAATTGGTCGCAGGGACAATGTGTGATTGGTGGACCTTACGCGAGCGGTCCCATGTACAGCTGTCATGGAGCAACATTCGTAGAAACGACTGGCTTGTAAGCTCCTTTTCAGACACATTGGTGAAATTCTTATGAAGAAGTTAAGGTGACGGTTGGAAAATTTGTTGGATTCTATATCCGAATTCACGTACAATTGCGAAACAATACACTGAAACTTGCTTTTAATCACTTCTGTCAAAAATGTGGTGCTACAAGGCTGTTGTAACAGCGCTTCTGAAGTTTCAAAATAAGAGAAATCTGCTTCTACCATTGTCAACGTCTAGTCCTTCAAAAAGGTCTTCGAAAATATCATATACTCCAAAGATTATCTAATCTATTCTGTTCATTCAATCACATCGGCCATTACAATGGCCGTGATGAATTTCATGAGGCAGGAAATAGTGGAGTTGTATGCATGCTTCGGAATCCTTCTTATAAACATCAATTCTTTTTGTCAGCAAGTCCTTGAGAAATCGTGAACTTAAGACGTCTTCGCCAAATCCTCTTCCGACTTCCGTGTAAAGATCAGCGCGTGGATTAGCAAAGTTTCTTCTACCGAATTTCACTTCTCTTTTATCTTTGGTCATTCGAATGTCAGAGCTGCAGTTAGTCGGCCATTCGCGGTAGGACTGAAGACAAGCTAGCTTACAGCCACCATTTTTTCAAATAACGATGGATGTGGCGCCCCAGAAATTTTTGCAAAGCTAATCTACTTGGTTGAGTGAATGCATGTAGAGTCGGAGTAAAGTCCAAGAATAAAGAGTTTTATTAATAGTGACTATGAAATCAGGCAAACCGAACAAAATTGTAGAGAATGTTTGATTAACAGTTTATCACCATTGAATAACTTTGCACAGAGGATTCTTCCTTTGGCATCTACGCAGGCACGAAGCCTACAGGGGTAGTTCTTGTGAAATTTTTCAGCATGACCTGAAGCCAGATCTAAACGAATCTAGTACGCGGAGGCAGTTATGCTTCAATTCAATCAGGCAAAGTACAGGGTGGCCTAAAAGTATGGGCGTCGCATATTTCCTTGCAAAGGTTTACATAAAAGACGAGGTTTTGTAGGATTGTTCGCACTTCAAAAAAAGAGTCGTTGCAATGTGTTAGTCCTACGAAGCTGCGCTGGCTTCTGCACATGCACACAGACTTCACCAGCTTTTCTTGAAGCTAATGCTCAAAAAACGCTGTATGAAAAATGTAACCGTTGCGAGCCCGGAGTGATAATCCGCATACTCAAATAGTTTCAAAGGTAAGAGGTTTTCTAGAGCATAGTCCACGGAATAACATAATGCTGTACTAGCAGTAATTTCTCCTTTCCAAAATAAAATACGGTACTGTAAACATGGTAATGACTGACCGCGCCGCAGCGCCTTTCAACTGGAAGCAGACTCCGGAGTCCCGCTTGCATCAGAAGACATTAGTTCACGCGTTACTCATATATCTCAATATAGAGGATGTCCACAAGCTATAGACATATAGGCCGTCTTGATAGAATATTTCAGGAAAAAGATATATTAGAAGTTGAGCTACGCCCACAATTACCGGCCACCCTGTATATGTTAATATAGGGACACAACTCCTTCTTGATCATTTTTCACATCTGTAAGGAAATTTACTCTGCTGCTTGTGGCAAAGTATCAGCAACAGGCATGCCATTGAAGTACTGCCTAGACCTTATTTGAGAAAAGCTACCCTTTCCTTCTACAAGCTACTGTTGTCGTTGGCTTCCTCGATGATGAAATAGTTTTTTAGTGAGAAAGGATATGCTTAAAAAGCGTGCTTTGTAGGTTGGTAATCAAAACATCTGTAGGTTTCCTGAGACTTTTTAGTCTTTTCTTCTTGAGGCTCATCATTCCCAAGTTCTGTTTGCGCGGAGACCCAAGAATTCTCAGAGACGTTAATGACCGTTTCTCTCCTCGTGCATCTTTACGATCAAATCCTGCTCACTTAAAAAGGTAGATTCTGATACGAATGAATTTATCCATCCAATTACGGAAAGCCTTTTATACAGCAACTGACTTGCATATTCGCTCCGCTCGATTTCTTTCGACTATCAGGATGGTACTCATTTTTCCCCACATGTTCTTGTCCCACTTCTATGCCAGTTTCGTGCCCTCGCTTATTTTCGCAATCAGCATGATCACTTGATTCCTGTATCAACTCCCAGCTAGCTGGGTCCATAAATGCAACGGATTCTTTGACATTGATGTTCCTATGTTGTCACCATGTTTACTTATCCCTCTCCAACTACCAATGCTCCATTCCAAGTTTGCAGAAGAATCTTGCCCTTGAGTGCAATTAAATAAATAATGGTAAAGATAGTGTGCGTGTGCACAGCATATTATAGCTCACTCTGCGGCGCCGATGCAATTTCGTCTTGTATCACCCAAAATCTCCTTGAAAACTTGACTTGAGGAATTTCCTAACACGTTCTCTTTTATGTCTATTTACTGCCTCAAGAAAGTAGCGCCTTATGAGCGTGGCAAGTGTAAATCCTAAAAATCATTGAAATCTTTCACTTCAGAACGTTAGTTGCTTTACACCTGAGAATACGTAAAATTGATAACGTTGCACGCTGCAGATTCAGAGCCAACAACTCTCTGATAAGCTCATAATTCATTTCCCTTACCTACCAGCATGTTTGAACAGAAGCAGTAAATAGTTCCTGGAATAGCTAGACGTCACTTTCTGCTGTCTAAACGTGTTACACTAATTACTGAAAGAAGTGAAAGAGGACGGGGGCATTGAAATTTATGAAACTACTTCCATAAATATTGTATTTCTACAGTTTCCAACCATGCACTCAACATAGTCAATGTTACCACGCAAGAGAACCTACGGAATGGTGCCGCCTGCTACCACATCAGTCTTGGACGTAAGTATATCATAAATCATGCTTCACATAAAATTACACTGACTCTTGGACAATAGATTTGATATTTAATTCATTGCTCAAGCACATCGTTCTTTGCTGCTTATGGCTAGTTTGATGGAAAATTATGGTGCTTTTGATGCTAAACTAAAAACTTTTTGAGGGGCATTATTCGTTGGTGCACAAGCTCTAGTAGATGACTATTAAAAATCGTACGACTGTGAATCCGTATGATTCCGTAATCTCTGGTTATGTATTCCCCAAGCTGAAGACTAAAAGTTTAAATCAATAAATCGAACTTCACCTCTTACAAACCTCCTACTTGTCGGTATGGTAGGAAAATCATGATATGCATCTGCTGCATTTTTTCATGGCTTGAAACTGTAGAAAAGGTGATGTCCGAAAATTGGCAAACACAATCCTCAGTTCCTTTTATACATGGATACATAAGACAAGTCTGCGGGGATACTGAAACCTAAAGATCTATTGCGTCCGAATTAGACAATCATAAGCGACTGCGGCTCCTAACGGTGAATTTTGGCAGCGCGCGGACCTTGATTTTTGGAGCAACCATCCCCAGTCCACTTCTGAAGCGGTTTCTCGCTTCAGAAGCAAAGTGGTGCAATGCCACTTGCGCAAAGCTTTACCCAGGCGGGAGCTCCTGTACACTAGAATTTCATATCTTCTCGGACGTCGCCTTTAAAGTTATCGTTAGAGAAAAATTGTGACTTCTTGTTTCATGAACACCCACAGCCCAAGAAAAGGCACTTGGTCGAGCCCCAGGACATAGACGCAGCACTGCATACTTGGTCTTCGGGCATGGCTCGGGCTTTGGTGCTTTGCGTGCATCGCGAGAGTTGGTGAGTTTGCGGCCACTGCACGCGCATCAAACTTCCCAGCTATCTTTCTCCTTTTAATCGCTTTTCTGCCATTAAATGTTACCTTCCAATCACCTGGAACGCTTTGCAAGGTGCGCAAGTGTTTGACTGGTTCTAGGCCTTCTGGCACCCTGCGTGTGCAATGGCGGCAAACTCAGCAATATTCGCGGTCATGCAAAAGCTATAACAGAGCTTCTACTTCGGACAAACCCTGTCCCTCATCAGACACCGCTGACATCGTTTCAGCAATGTCGCGGGCCATAATGAGCCATTGCAATCGTATGGCAGGCCCCAGCCTTTTAGAGTCATAGAACGGTGATCATTTTTGCGATTCTCGAGCAGGGTCAGGCGGTAATCGTAGTACGCCACACCAGTGGCGTACCGAGGGGGGGGGGCGGGGGGGGGGGGGGGCGCGCGCCCCCCCCCCCCGAGAATGGGTCGCGAAATTTTTGAAAGTTACTTATATGGGTTATAAAAATGTGCAAGTGACTTGTTTATTTTTGTAAATAATTAAAATAATTTTTAAAAAATTTTAAAAATTCTAATTAGCCTTTTAAAAAAATTTTTTTCGGGGGCGTGGCTAACGCCACGCCCCCTTTTTCCAGATTTTAGGGGTCGGGGACCCGCAAAAGTTCTTGGAGGCACCCCAAAAATTTTTTCGGAGTGCGTGGCTGACGCCACGCACCTTCTTTAAAAAATTTTTTTTGTCGCACCCCCCCCCCCCCGAGCCGAAATCCGGGTACGCCACTGCGCCACACCTGGAGTTGCATCCTTCAAAAAGAGGGAGGGTCGACGCAACACCGATGCTAGCGGTAAAAATATTTGTTAGCAATGTCAGTCAAAAGCAGTGTCCGGGCAAAAACTCGATTTTGAGATTTTGTGCTTACCCGGGCCTATTCGCTATGCCAAATCCTAAAATGCACTTTGGAGAGCGCCAAAACGGCGAAAAAAGTCTCTTACAGAGAAAGGAAATCAGTAGGTGGGCGGGGTCCTCCCCACTGTGGATTCACGCTCCCAGATTCCGGAGCGATCTTCTTGCTTCCAGTTTCAAGTCAACTTCGTACTTGACCGGTAGTGATGCTAGAACGGATAGCGAAATCGAGAAGACCGCTTCGGAAGCTGGGAGCGTGATTTCATAGTGGGGAGGACCCCGCCCACTTGCTGTTTCCCTCCAGCAAAAAGCCCTTTTTTGCGATTTTGCGCTTTCTATGCGGATTTTCGGGTTCAGCATGGCGAAAAGGCTCGTATAAGCACAAAATCGCAAAATCGAGTTTTTGCCAGGACACTGCCTTTAAGTTTATTACGCAAAGTATAAGCACGAGCATGCACAGCAAGCATAGTAACGAAACCTTAAAGGCATGATGAGCATTATTTTCGTAAATAGCATGTCGCATAACCCCTGTAGACCAAGTAAAACGATCTCAGGAGCTTCCAGATATTGGGCCACAAGTAAAAGAAACCACTGAACATTATTGAGTTTGCCCATGAAGGTGAAACAGCTACCTTTTTTGCACTCAAAGCGATACTTCTTCTTTACCCATATTACTGATTCCGCTTTTATTGAAAAACTAGCTTGCTTACCCAGCTCCGCTCGGCCCTGCCAAAACACTGTAATAAAGGTCTCATCGCTATCCCTGTACAGTCTTTCCCTGTGCCCACTTCTATACTTCATTTCCCGTTCCCTGTGTTGTATTCGGAATCGCCATGCTCACTTACCCCCCTGTGCCAACTCCCAGCCCTGCAGGTCAAACTTTACAAAAAAATCGATAAAAATCAATAAAATCGATATCGATGATGACCAAAAGTAGCCTATAACGCCCGCCCCGCCCGAAGTGTATGTGTGCTAAGTTTGGTCCGGATCGGTTCAGAAATGGAATTTTCTATTCGGAACATATGTACAGACACACACACACGCAAATAGACATTCAGCTTTATACAGGGTGTCCCAAAAAATGTATCGAACGTTTGATCGTTAATATCTCTCTTCCCAAGAAGTCTTTTGCCTTGATTTAAGTTCATTTTTGTAGAGCTGGCTTCAACTTAGATTTGCGTTATAGAACGAATCACCCATCTCTCTTCATTACTGTAGGATTACGGTAAAAACTTGAAACATATGGTGTCATTGTGGAAAAAGCTGCCGTTTCAAAAATTTTCAAAAAAATGTGAAAACTTGTGTAATAGGGTTTCTATGGACGCTGAGTTTGATACTCAGCTACTCACGAGATTACGAAGCCTTCTAAACGGTGTAACAGCACTTTTTAGGAACATTGAAAAAATGGCCGCTAGCTGGCATAACTCTTCAATGAAGCATCATAATAAATTGGGAACTTCACAGTTATAATCAGCAACTCTAATTAGCCTAGTGTAAAAGTTTTGACGCTATTTTGTTTCCTTTCTGAGGTAAATTATGGCCTTTCATTGCTTAAAACCCTCCTTGAAGTTTCTACCGTAATCCTACAGTGATGAAGAGAGATGAGTGATTCGTTCTAAAATGCAAATCTAAGTTGAAGCCAGCTCTACAGACTGGTACCTGAAGCAAGGGAAAAGACTTCTTCAGAAGAGAGATATTAACCATCAAACGTTCGATGCATTTTTTTGGGACACCCTGTATATAGGATGGAATTAGGAGTTAAAAAGAATCTCGTTTGTTCCGTTCTTTCAGTGGTTCTGCTTTTAGCCGTTAAAAGAACGGTTTATGTCATTCAAATCAATGTTTCTGCCAACTCTTCTCGCGACCACATAGTAGCGCAGACATAGTATGCTATGCAATCCAACTTTTGTTTACGAAATGAAAAACAATATATTCTTTCAAAAGAATCGATTTTGGATGAATTCCTAGTTTGTAAAGAAGAAGGCATAGCGTTCAGCTTATATAAACCATAGATGTTTGGATGCTTTGCAGGTAAGTTAAAGGGGTGAGGCAGCCGCACCTTTTTGGGGTGCCACATCCCATTAACTTACCTGCAAAAAGAATTTCCGCAAATATTAGGGTGAACGGTAGAAACCTAGAGAATAACTGAAGATTCTTCAGGGAAGAGAAGTGGTTGAACTCAATCTTGATAGATGTTAGAATATATGTCTCTTTCAGAAAATGCCTATCGTCGAGTTATTCGTAACTTAATATGTGAGCCTGCACACAAAGCGTTTAAACGGACGGCACCCTTAATATTACCTTCTCGATCAAATCTTTTCTAGCGTAACAAAGTGTAAGAGTGAATACTACTGACTAATTAATATCCTTTCAAAGCAAAAGGGGCAAAGAAAAAGGCGAAGTCACTGAAATGAGCAGTTTCCAATCTTCTAAGTTCGTCACATAGCGCGAAGGTGTGCAATGCGCCTATTAAGTTACAAATGACTCGAGCATATATAAGGTCTTTTTACCTACCTATTGATATTTATACTTGCTGAAGTGATCACCTCATCATATTGTAAGTTTTGAGCAGTATCTGCGCGGTAAAACACGTGGAACCATCCAAAAGTACCTCTGCCGCAATGTGTGAAGCGACAGTCACCAAACCCACGACGGCTTGCTTACAACGTGCAAAGTCAGGAGATATGTCATTAGCATTTTTAAGAACAAAGATATGTATTATTCACTGCCTTGCAAGTGAACGCATGATTTGGCTACCATCTGATAGAGCTCTTTACGCTTTATCCACCCGTATGCAGTTTACCCCAATTTTTGCCTATCTTTGGAAAATATAGATTGAAGGCATGATTTTTGGTTTTTATTGCTTCAAAAGGTCGCAATTTTTCTAGCTTTTTTGCCTCTTTTATTTCAAAATAGAAAAGAAGTCCATATGTTCAATACGCCTTTTAAAAGAGCATGAAGAGCTCTTTCGAATGGAATGTCAATTACTTTATGACTTTACGGTATAGCAGCGCAAGATTGAGAGATGTACGAAAGACCCTGTCCGAGTTCTTGGTGGCACCACGCGTGAGGGTAAGAAGAGGACGCGTTAACGTGTTAACAATGATAACGACAATACGACCCACCGGTGGATCGTAAGATTCCTGAAGCTCTAACTTTGCCAGTATGCGATGGAATTCTACGGGGTTTTGGCACATGATTGGGGACACCTTGGCGAAGCTCTAGCCGGACTGGTCCGGGTTCGGGATACTGTAATCTATGTTACGGTAGGTATACTGTAGATAGAGGTAAGGCACAGACTTTAGCTCAAATTTCTCGCAAAACGGTGCTGTTTTTGACAATTCAAGGTTACATGCACGAGAAATACAGGAAGAGCACGAGACTGAGTCAGCCCATCAAAAACTATCGATTTTATTGATTTTATTGATTCTTCGCATTGTTCATCCCAGGAAGCTCAAACCTTACATATATAGGTTTTTCAGCATGCTGATTACGAAAATGATAGTCTCAAGTTCTAGCACCGCCTACTTATATCATTTTCTTGATTCTTACGAAAATTCTACCGTACTGCTACGGTAGCCCCACTGTGGGAAAGTAGTGAACAAAGTGGACACTAATCGCTAATCGTAATCAACACGTGAAATAACTCCAAAACACAATTTTTCATGGAATCCGTGATGTTGGGTTCGTAAAAATGACTACCGTAACCTTAGCGTACTGCCGTAACCTTACCGTACTGCCAAAAACTGAAATTAATCATATTTTGGTAATCAGCGCCTTCGATAACCCTTGGGGGATATTTTCGGAGACATGTTTGATCTCTTCCAAAAAGACTACCATTTCGGAATATACGACCCACGGGTGGGTCGTAAGTTTGACAAAGCGAAAAGGGCTCCTATCCGGAACTGCAGTAATCGAAAAATCGGCCTTGTCGTGTATGTGCTAGGCGACATTCAACTTGCAGCCTGCCAGCTGTTAACTGAAACAAAAAATCTCAGAATGCAATAAAAATTTGGCTGTTCCATTTTTGCCGTTCACCGTAATAGTATGTATATATTTGATAGCCCAAGTCTCTTAGCTCTCATCAAGAGAATAATCCCGGTTTCAACCAAGGCTTTCGTAGACTGCGAAACAAACCTCTTTGCGCCAGCGTAGGAAATAGGCCACAGTTATAGAACAAGTGAAGCGCTACAGACAATTAAATCAGCATTCAATCAGCATTGTACTCTAGAGTTCTACGAACTTCCACCTCTCCGGGCTCTTTTTTAACATGTGCCAAAGCGTGTTGGGATAAAGTGGTTAGCTACGTGATTCGTAGTGACTGCGTTCAATCCAACACATCTTCCTTATCGCAAGAATATTAGGCTTTAACACCTCAGCCTTCCAAGACTCTAGGGAAATGCTTGATTAGAACATGACAAGCTCATTCTCCTAAATGTAAGCTAAAAATGTCAACATATCAGTAGATGGAAGAGGTCAGCGAATTGGCTCAAAAAGCGGCCTAAGATTAATAAGGATTCGGCGTCTTCAATACCTTCTGCGGGCATGCGATAAACGCACACTACTTCATAGTCGACGAGGCAATGTATGCATGCGGGCATTTACAATGACTTGCGGGCCAGCAGGTTACCAGTCAGTGCTTCTATCTCCCAGATTAATCTGGTACCAATTTACCGTCTCCGGAGAGTAGAGGGCTTGGTTTGCCCAGGCGGGATAGAATCCTCCGACCTGGTCATAGCGGCGGCTCATACCACTACGCCACTCGTCCCCAAAGCAACTTACGGGGGGGGGGGGCAAAAACATATATGTGCAAAGTTTCAGCTTAACTGGTCTACCTCTACCCACAAAAGAATCTGTAAAGAACTACAGTTACTGCACACTTACAGATTTTTTTGATTTATATTCAGATTAAAATTTTTGGTATAATACTCTTTGAAAGTTCGACTGTCATATGGAAACATCGCTATACAATGTGAGAAATGAATGGTCAATTTTTTGAAGGATCATTATCGAAAACAGAGTTTGAATTTCAGAAACGAGGGCTGTCATTGCGACCAAAAGGTGGGAAGCTGTGTGATCGAACGTTTCGACAATATGATAGGTCAACTGCAATGGACTTTCTGCACACCAAAAGCCGAGTTTTACTGCTGAAACACACAACTCCTTCAAATAAATTGTACTGCAACCCAATGATTCGCTTTTTAGATTCAGATTCTCGTTAAGTATGGTCTAAGTCAGCTGGCTCACCATTATAAAAGCAACTAAATCGGCAGTTATTATGCAAGACATATTCAATTCCAGACTCGTACAGGCAAAATTGATCGTGCTAGAGGCTTCGTAAATTACAGGGTCACTACTACCAAAGCAACATCAGCAAAGCAGACACTTTTTACATCAAATCTTCCTAATCTTCTTTCAAAATCGATTTCCTCAATAGTCCATATACTTTGTAACAGATCTTTAACCGCTATGTCATAATGTAAGCATAGACTGCAGAGAAAGAGTGCGAAAGAAGAAGATTATTCGATCTTCAGTGATTCCAAGAAGACTCGTCGAAATTTAATTCCTGTAGTACAGAACTTGTGCTTTGCAGCCTCTCAGTCTTTTCCTAGCCTTAGTTACGAATTTTCAAACTACCGTGCTCATGCACGTTTTTGACGTCGTTCTGGACGGCGCTCAAGCGGTTTTTCTCGCGGAAAAAGCTGTGGAAGAGGTAGAAAGTAAGCTTCTTAGTCGAAAACACCCTTTATTGTTCAAGAATGTCATTTTTTTTCTCCGTGCAAAAATTTGTGTAGCCTACGGGATTCAAATTTGCTGGTCCGAAGTATGCCTGAAGATTCAAAAAAAAACTTGCAGAATCTCAAACATTATTGAAGGTGTGTATGTGTGCTACAGATGCTGGATACACCCAGTGGCCTAGAAATTCTGCTTCCGAAACCTCACTGAAGTTCTCACGCAGGTGTTTTCGAGGAGGGGAAGGGGGTGGGGGGGGGGTCATGCGGATGGGTACCTTCAAAGGGGGGGGGGGGTCGTAAATGAGGGTCCCGGATCGCATCAACACGCTTGACCCTGGTGTGGAGTAAAAGTGAGTGTTTGAAAGCGTTCTTCGACCCGCCAATCCAAGAATTCTTTCTTTTTATAGTGCGTAGGTTTGCGGCAAACTTACTTTCGTACCAGTAGCCGCTGCGTTAATGAATTTTGTGAGGTTGCTACTGGCACCTTTCACTCATTACAAGGGAGACCAATCCGTTCCTTGTCTCAGACGCTTTGAACGTCTGAGATTAGGCTCACTAGAACGTGGAGTCTCTGCCTCTGTGTGACTAGATTGTGGTTGGACAGAGATTTCACGCTCTTGCGGCCTGCTGTAATACAATTTGAGTCTGTTCACATGCACTGTCTGTGACTTATTATTGCACAGACTTTTTATGGTGACATTGAGACGGCACATGGAGACAATCACAAATGGGCCTTTCCATTGGAGTGTGAATTTAGGACGCACTGTCTCGTCATGCAACAATTACAAGATCCCCAATGGAAAGGTCCTCACTGTATACCTTCTTCTGGTAATCGTAACCAGCTTTGTAGTCAGCCGTTTTCGCTGCTATGCTGGTTCTCACTTCCACAATCGTAGTCTGCAGGGTTGTCGTAAACTCGCCTGCGACGTTATCTGTGGCAAAAGTAAGAGTAGAAGGTAATTTGTGAACAACGTCCATCCATGTGAGCGGATGTCTGCCGTGTATCACAAAAAACGGGTTGTACCCTGTCGTATCGTTTTTGCTACAATTGTAAGCAAAAACGATGGGTTGCAGGAACTCCGTCCACAAGGCTCTGGCTTCTGTGCAGTAGACTGTGACAGAATCCGTGACAACTTTTACCATTCTTTCAACCTGGCCGTTCGCCTTATGGTTGTAGCTTTTGGTAAAGTTGTTCGCAATCCCTAAGGTTTGTTTATTTGAGCAAAAATTTCGCTCACATAGTTTGAGCCTCTGTCGCTAACGATTTCGTTGGGAATCCCGTGCTTGGATACCACATCGTTAATGAGCGCTTTTACTACTAAATCAGCCGTCTGATTCACTAAAGGCGTACAGATAATGTACTTACTGAAAGCGCAGACCCTCGCGAATGATATTTCCTGCTGGTGTTTTCACCTTTTGACAGACTGCGCAAGATCTAACGTAATTTGCGATATCCTGATGCATGTTTGGCCAGTACTACTTATCCGAGACCTTTATGTACGTTTTTCGAATTCCCAAGTGGGAACCTAGCAAAGGATTATCATGAAGAAGTTTTACGATCTGCTTTTGAAGCTCATGGTCGGGTATGACAAGTTTTGGTCTTTCGTTGGCCTCATAGTACAATGCCCCATTGAAAATGGAATATTTGTCTAACGAACCTAAAACTGCTGCGAGGGTTTTCAGCATTCTCTGTTAAGAAGGTGATCAAATCCAAGATAAAAATTTTGCTGGCTTTCCCTGATGGTATCTAAGCTAGGAATTGAGTCGAGAGCAGTAGAAATATTCATTACTACTGGATAACGGCAAAAAGTCGCAAAACTTGTTATGTTTACCCGGTCGATATTCAATTTTCAGATCGTAAGCTTGTATCATGATTTGGTATCTTGCTAAACGTCCAACAAGGTCTGATCTGTACAGTAGTGACTTTAACGGAGCATGATCGGTGATAAGTGTTATAGAGGCATTAGCAACATATGGGTAAAAATGTTTGAGCGCAAAGACTATGGCAAGCGCTTCAAGTTCTATGATTGAGTAATTTTGCTCATGCTTATTCAGCGGTCGGCTACGGTACGCAATTGGACGCTCATTTAGCGTTTGCGGGTTTTGCAGCAGTAGGCACGCTCCTAGACCTGTAGTCGAAGCATCCGTGTAGATAATGTACGGTTTGCCTATTATAGGAGATGCAAGAATTGGAGCTGTAGTAAGCGCGCTTTTCAAAGAAACGAATGCATTTTCGTGAAGATCAGTCCATTGGAACGGAGCATTCTTTATGAGAAGAGCATTCAAAGGAGCGGCAACATACGAAAAGCGTGGTATGAATCTGCGAAAGTACGAAGCTGCACCCAAAAAAGACTTGACAGCTTTAGCATCTTGAGGTCTAGGTATCTTGGTGATACTAGCTATCTTTTCTGGATTCAGTCTTGTTCCGCTCTTGCTTATGAGAACTCCCAAGTATGGAACTTCTTCTTGCATAAATGAGCATTTTTCCGCTGTGAGTTTCATGCCAAAATTTGCAATGCGTTGCAGAACTTCTTCTAGATCACAAAAATGGTCACCTATGGAATGACTGGCGATAATGATATCATCCAAAAGGCGAAACAGCAAGCTTTCAATTCTCTTGTCAAGCTGTTTGCGACTCTTTGGAAAGTACTAGGGGCACCCTTAAACCTTGTGCCATTACAGTTGAAAAGGACCCAAAAATGAGGAAAATGCAGTTCTCTCTTTGTGTTTGCTTCGAGAGGGATTTGAAAAAAAACCACTTTTGAAGTCCAGAATACTGTAAACTTCTTTAACGCTCGCTAAATCAATATGTCTTGAATATGCGGAATGCAGTAGGTTTCATTTTCAGTTGTAGCAGCTTATCGTCAGCTTTATGGGGAAAAGTAGGAAGATTTGCAGCTATGTCCGCCTTAGATGAGGGTGTAATGGACTGGATTGTGATAGGTATTAGAAGTAGTAGAATTTGAAAGATGAATTTCAAAAACAGCTGGCCATTGCTAGGCAGAACCAACGAATTGAGCAATTGTGAGAACGTCTTTCCTATTTAGTTCTACGTGATTAGGGTTAAAGTTGAAAATGCGTAGCGTAATTGTGCCATTTGAACCAGGACATGACAATGTTTTGCCTATAACGACACCTGATGTTAAAGTGACTGATGGGTCGTCACATGTCATAAATTCCCAGTCGGGAGGATAAGAAGATCCTATGATGCCTTGTACAATAGTATCAGAAAGCGGTTTGAGAATTGTTTTGCAAGATAGGTGAACAGGTTCGGTCAGCACGAGATCACTGCTAGGTTTGACCATTGGTACTGAACATTTTTCAAAAATAACCTGTTTTTCTTTGTAGTTTATTGTTACACTTGTAGATAACTTTGTTATTGAGTCATTACCCAAAAGTAAGTCAGTCGAGCAATGTGCATTACTGACTACAAATGGTGTGACTGTAATGACAATGTTATCTACAGAAAGAGTGGCTGTGATTTGACCTAGTAGGAGCTGAATGGGAGTACCATTTGCTGCTACAGCTTCTTTCAAAGAAGACTTAGTGAAAGGAATGGAAGTTTTTGAACAAACCTATCTGAGATCAAACTGATAGCTGAACCAGTGTCAAAAAGGGCAGTTGTACTGAAGTTATTGATTTTAGCGGAATGAATATGGTGTTGTTTTGACCGAGTTGTTGGACAGACATTACAATAGGATTGAAATCGTTAAAATTGTTAACAGGCACACTGAGATCGGTTTCTGTGCTAAATGTTGTCTCAACTTGTTTTTCGTCCTGTAATTTTGGATAGATTGGATCGCGCGTTTGAGAGTGATTGTCTTGAAATGTAACAAAGCTATGACTTTCTTGATAATGAGAGCGGATGCCTCAACATTATGCTCTATTTCCGGAGTTTTCTTGTGAAACGACGGAAATAGTACTGAAACATTTTGAAGAGAAGTTTTAAGAAAGTACGTGCTAATTTGACGTTATAAAAGATAAGAGCTACTAAAAATAGAACTACTGCAACGATAGTTGCAGTAGTTCTATTTTTAATTGGTAATTTGTTATTTTTAATTGGTAACTTACTTTGGTAATTTATGCTCTAACAGCATAAATTACCAAAGTATGTTTTTCTATAGACCGTAAGATTATTGATTTTTGCGATTGTAGATCGTAAAGCATTGGTTTCAAGAAAATCAGCAGTTTCCATAACTTCATCCTGTACTTGCTCAGGAAATGTGTTCAGATTTGGATCGTAAACTTACGAAGCATCTAAGGGCCGCATGCACTAACATCCCCACGGGGAGGGGATCGCAGCTTAAAAGAAAGCTTTATATTTCGAAACTCCGGATATCTGGATTTCACGCTGTCTACCTATCCGTAAGTATTCCTACTACCCTTCACTATGAACATGTTGAACAGGAGCGAGAAGCTGTACAAACCGCATTTTCCAGCTTTTGTATGATCCCTGATGATCCCCGGCGTTTTTCTTTAAAGTCATTTTTCTTTCTCCGATGTTAACGAAGAATCTCCAGAGTTGTGCAGATTGTCTAACCCGACAGTGCTAAGCATGTTGCTGCTAAGAACAAATGATGTTTTGAAGTCATGAAATTTGCGATGATCCACAGGTCGAAATTTGAGGCTTACCGAAAAATTCGACTTTTCAAAAAGTCATTTGTTCTCATCAGCAACATGCTTAGCAGTATTGTGTTAGATGTTCAGTACAACTTTGGAAGGTTTTCGTTAACTTCGGAGGAAGAAAAATGACTTTGAAGAAAAGCGCCGGGGATCATCAGCTCAGACAATTGGAAACCCTCAGCGGGCAGCCACAAAGCCGCCACCAATCCCCACCAAAAGCCCCCGCGCCTTATCGCTGCCACTGTGGATGCCCGCTGAATGCCATGTGGCTTCCACATCACTGCCGCTTCATAGCGGCCCGCTGACTGCCAGTTAAAGCAGCCCGCTCAATGCCATTTAAAGTAGCCCGCCCACTGCCGCTTATATTAGCCCGCTCAGTGCCGCTTATTGCACTCTCTCCTTTTCGGGATCCACTACTCCTTCTGTACTTGCACTATAAACAAGCTGGGCATCATCTTTTATTAATCAATTGCCCGAAACAATACGATACTTTCAGTAATTTAGTATAATGCAATAAGGCACATAACAATAACTCAACGAGGAACAGATACAGAGGAAAGAAATCAACTCAAAAGATCATTTAGTGTCTTGATACACGTACACGTAACGATACCTCAACAGCGAACAAGATAAAGATGAACGAAATGAGCTCACATTGATTGCCAACCTATACTGCAACATAACAAGTAATAGCAAATCAACATAGAACAAGATGCAGATAAACGAAATAAAGTCAAAATGCAAGATCAAGGCATTAAGGAGAAATGAAGATGTCCATGCGGGAAGAGGTTTGAGGTGTTCTGCTCCAAACAAAATAATCAGGACTAACCATTTGACAGATTTTTAATGCATTAATCGATTCGACAGCTTACTCAAGCGACAATGCGAGGTATGCCTGGTTTTGGTTCTGCAGTTCTCTGAGTTCCATCACTGGGTTAGTTTCTGGTGCTTTCTTCTTCTTTTCTGGAAATAAACTGAGTCGCTTTTTGCAGGATTATAAGAGATCAAGAATTTTTCGACAACTACTCACCGCGTGTGACAGCCACTGTTTTTTTCCATGTCGTATTCATAAGATCTGATATCCCTCCTGCATAATATTTACTGATTTTAACTTCAACCAAACCTTAGAATATAAAACTCACAAGGCAAGCTGCATCCCTTTTAGTATTTCGGATTTGTATAAATCAAAATCGGCTAACAACTCGTCTAATTTCTTCTGGCGGTCCTTTTCGTTTTCGCCAAGCTCGATGTAGAAGCTAGAAATTTGTCTTTTGATCCTGATAACCATTCTTTCAAAAAAGCTACCGTGTCCTTTCATTTGCCGCTCTTTTTCCAAGCCTCAACTGGGGATCGCCTAACCCGAACAAATCCAAAGCAAAATCTGAAATCGGAGTCAGTGCGATGCTAATGTCTGCACAGTACTTGGTATAAACATCCCTACCCTGAAGTGTCACTTCCACTGCCACCGGTAAATTTTGCAGGTGCTTTTCCCTCCCAGCCTTACGATGATACCTTATCGCGTAATTTTGGATTTGCTGAGGAGGCTCCGTCAGCTGAAAGTTGTCCAATGAATAGACGTACTGCGCGCGTAGGGAGAAGTAAACCTGCTGGATGATAAAGCGAAATACGCGTGCGAAGTTCTGATAGCACGGCTCAGTGTCGTTGAAGCTAAAGCGCACCAGCAGTTCAGGATTTTCGACCTAAACCTCTCATTTGCGCGAGTAGTGTATAACAGCCAGTGACACTTACGCCTTTGAATGGTGCTGCTTCGTCTAATTTCCAAGGCCTTGTCAGATTATTTAGGGACAAGACACGTGTTTGTCCGTGTGTATCCTTTGCTTTCCGTGGCTGTGATTCGAATGAACGCGCTAGCCGATCGTACTTCGCGATTTGTATCTCCCTCTGGTAAAATTGTGGATAATCGCAATTTTTCTCGCGGCACCAAAGCACAAACGCAAACGCGCTCATATAAGCGACGCATAGACTGTGCGGGAATCACAGGATTAGCAGGAATAGCACGACTCGCTGGAAGTATGGCCGATCCCTATGAGATAGACAATTCTAATGGGAGAAACGAAGAAAGAGAGAAGTGGTCATTACAAGCATGGAAACCTTTGATGAAATCATTAGGTCTGCGTCAACTAAGCATTTGAGAGCTCAGAAATGAGGGGCAAGGGTTCAGCATTTCAGAGGTTGGCAAACTCGTAAAATTTATTTTCCAACAACTTCCTACTTGCTTGAAAGTCTACAGTCGCTTCATTTCATATGATCATGTGTTTCGTTGCACACACATTCCACGTTTGGCGTCCTCATCCTGAATTTGCAACAGCAAAAACGCAAGAGAGTTAACGATTGTTTTCGATTACATCAATTTAAGATGATTCGTAGCTAAGAAGGAACGGAAACATTAAGAACACATTGAAAACTGTTGCCTAAAGATTTCTTTCCTCCAAGAATCCGACATGTGAACGCCAAACATGGAATGTGTGTGCAGTGACATACATGATCATATGAATTGTCGACTTTGACTTCACTTACAGCGGTCATGCAACTCAATATGTGCATCTGCACAAGACGCACCGCACCACACACTCACAAGTCAGTAGTTAGTAACATCAGAAATCAGTTCAGAGTTCAGCGCGAGCAATGGAGAGTGAAAAACGTGACGAAATTGCCCCCTCACTCTAGTTTTGAAGTGATAGATAGCTTGCCAATGCATTTCTCTTCTTTGCTCCAAAAAAGAGAGTGTAAGTTTAAAGAGACAGTTTGAGTCGGAAAATGAGTGCAAAAGCTTTGAGAAAATACTGTAAATTAGAACTTACCTGCAGCTGGTGATCCTTCATGGAACTGTTCTATTTTAAGGTGCTTCTACTCGCATCACGTCACCTCGTTTATCCAAACTAAATTCTTCCCTGTCTGCACTGTCGCGTAAGCGTGAGATGGTCCGTAGCTTCGCATATTCGTGTTCCACCTTGGCATGAAACATTTCTAAACATGATTGGTGATAAGCTACAAATACTTATAAGCATCGATCTCACTTCTACATTTTCTTGCTCCGGTGTCTTCGTATCGGGGACGTCTTTTGAGAGCCATAGAAACATGCCCAGAAGTTACTTGCAAAATTTCGACACCAGTTTGAAATTAGCGATTGGGAAAGAAAGCGTCGGTAGCTTCTGAAATGATATCGTTCGTGTGGATGATGACATCAAAAGGTTACTGAGTACAAAGTAAAGGTCGACGAGCATGTGCAAGCAATTAGTGGAATTGGTAAGACAAGTCATTATGGTAGGCGCCGACTAAGCGAGTATCTTATTCAACTTGGGGTCCCGCGCAGAATTAACGTCATTTGGCGTCACGCTGGCGGGAAATCAAAGCGGAGTCTCCCGCAATGATATATTTTTCTATATACTGCGATGATGAGGAGTAGAGAAGAGAGAAAGAGTGGTAAGAGAGACAGAGACAGAGAGAAAGAGGGAGGTCTACACTCCTTTTACCTTACCGTGTTTGATCCGCTCAAATAGTCGGTACGAGCTATATAACACGAAAGCCCAGAAGCCCAAAAGCGCCCAAAGAAGCCGTTACGACCCCTTTTGCGTTCAAGTTTTCACGGTAGGGAATCTGTATTGATATAGCAATCAAGTCATTTTGCTTCATTTACTATCGTCCACACATCAAAATAATATTGGGATTCTACCAAAAGTGATAATTATGAAGCGAGAGCAAGGACGCATGACCATCTTTTCAATGAGTAATTGTACAGCTGATGGTGCTATCGCGCTTCCGTATCTTAAGGGCCGGGCATACTTCACGCGATTTCAGAAAAGCAAACGAAAGTTATGGTAACTTACAAAAACATGAACTAAGCTTCACCCTCCAATGTCTTCAAAGTTCAAACAATTCAAATTGGAGAAGATACGGTAGCCACTGTCGTGGAGAGGACATATGCAGCGAAGAAGCTAACAAAAGAAATTCTGTCCAAACTACACACCACGATCTCAACAAAAGAGAATAGTGGTGCCATATTTGCTAAGTGAGATTACTGAATGCAATAGAGAGAGAAAATCTGTGGGAAAGCAAATGAGATACACATAAGGATGAGATTAAGACGATAAGCTCGGATACTGACGGACGCACAGGAAGAATCAATGACTAATGACGCCGTGCTCTTTCTTGCAAAAGACACGTATCTACATGTGCACAGATGAGCACTGCACAAATCAATCGATACCAGCCAGATACATGTTATCAGTGCCCGCTCATAGAATCTTCGCGACCCGCTCACAAAAACCTTGCTTTCGCAACCCCATCGCTTCCTGGTCGTTGCCAACTAGCTGTTATCGCTGCCTTGTCGTCGCCTTCTCGGTGCTTTTGTAGCAATAACGCGCTCTGTAGTTATTTTCTGACTCACGGAAGATTATGGCAGCCCGCTGATAGCCTGTCGCTGCCCGCTCGCTACTTTTTCCGAGTTATCGCCGCCCGCCCACTGAAAGTGCTTGCTATCGCTGCCCGCTGAGGGTTTCCAAATGTCTGAGAGGGATCATACAAAAGCTGGAAAATGCGGTTTGTACAGCTTCTCGCTCCTGTTCAACATGTTCATAGTGAAGGGTAGTAGGAATACTTACGGATAGGTAGACAGCGTGAAATCCAGATATCCGCAGCTTCAGGATATGAAGCTTTCTTCGGAAGCTGCGATCCCCTCCCCGCGGGGATATTAGTGCATGCGGCCCTAAGTTTGACTTTATGGTTGCTGTATTGATGCGATTTTTGATGTACTTTATCTCCGTGCTTGTTTTGGCTAGGTCCGAATGGAAAATAGGCGGAGAACTGAAAACTATGTTTTGATTTGCAAAGTTTCGTGGTAAGTTCAAATTTACGTGAGAAACGTGGACATAACCATTAGATTAGATGTAATGATTTGTGCCATCATTATAAATCCCTAATGGTAAATGACCACAGTCAGCAAAAGAAGATGAAGTTTTGAGATCACGTGTGAGGGTTGGATGAAAAATAAAGTTTTCCCGACACGTACCGGAGTATCAACATAGCAGTTGCTATCCTCTTTATGGTCCGGATAGATCTCATCAATTTGGATAGTTTTACAGTTAGAAATCATCAAAATATCCCCAGCAGAAATTGCGAACATATCGTCTCTGCTGAATAACATCCTAGCAGCACTTGTAGGATCGTTTTTAGCAATACTTTTGATAGTCAAAACCTTGAAATTATTCAAGACACAAATTCGCTCAAACATGATAGAAAAATCGCGCTGAATCACCTCGTCAAGTTTAAATTTAAGGTACTGCAACTTGGTATTGAGTTCAGACTGCTGGTCTGAGAATGCTGGAGGTGAATTCAATGCAATATGCTCTGCGACTATAGCAGAAATGTTGGTTGTCCTATGCGCGGGTTTCGGGTTATCGCTAGATCGTTTTCCTCTGATCGGCGGTTTTACTTGGTTGATTTGAAGTGGTTTTAATTTCAAAAGTACTGATGAAAAAATAGTGGCATTGCTAGAAGTTGAAAAAGTATTGCCATGTGTGCATAAAGACTGCAAATTTTATGAGTCTAGGTAGTGTCTACATCGTAAATTGGAAAGCTTTTGGAGATGTTGAAGTGTTTTTCGTTGACTTCTCGCACTAGAGTTATGTTACTATCAAAAATAGGACATGTCAAGTGTACGAGTTAATTACTCTCGGGACTTAATCCCTCTATCCTGTTGTATTGCATCTTAACAGAAGAATTCTTGACTAGATGATTTTATCATTTATAACATGTATATAAAAAAATGGGAGACAGAATTGGGGAGGGGACCACCGAGCACCCGGGGAGTGCCAGCTCATTAGAGATTCCGAGCACCGCCCAGTTCGTGGGGACTGTCGGACTATCTATTTAGTCTGCGTCTCGATACGCCCATTTCCAGATGGAAAAGACAGGTGAGATTGATGCATATAATGATAGAGCAGAAATGCACATCATGCTGGTCACTAAGCTGCAGTAGTTGCCTCTATGATACTCCCTTTTGCCTGCTGAGGTATAAAGAGATTACCACCTGTGATGCAAGTTCGCCTTGCATGGAACCTGAAGGCAGTGGCGTGTGTGATCTTGTCTAAGGGACCCGTCATAGTTCGCCGAAAAAAGCCCAAAAGCGCCCAAAAAAGCCCGAAAAAGCCGAAAGAAACCAAAAAGGCCGGAAAAAGCCTGAAAAAGCCCCAAAGAGCCGGAACGCAGAAACGAACTTTTGGTAGAATTCTGACATTATTTTGCTGTGCAGGCGACAGAAAATGAAGCAAAAGGACTGGTTGCCACATCAACACACATGCCGCATCAAAACGGGAAGAACGTTTCCGCTCTTTCGGACTTTTTTGGGCTATTTAGGCTTTTACGGGCTTCTTTGGGATTCCTTAGGCTTTTTTGGCTTACTCGGGCTTCTTTGGGCTTCTTTGAGTTTTTTGGGCTTTTTCGGGCTTTTCTGGGCTGTTTTCGGCGAACTATGACGGGTCCCTAAGGCATAAGCTATCTTCCGTTAAATTCTAGAGTATTATAGCAATTGTGATGCGTGCCACATTACTATACCACTTAGAATCCAGCCCATTTCTTTCTGTATTTGTCTTCAGGGCGCCGGTTCTATTCAAAAGAAATTGTGACAATGGCGCACAACGAATAGTGGTTCTCAAGCTTTATTAAAATTGAAAACAGACAAATCAACAAGGAATAATACACATGGATAATTCATGTTAGCAATATCAACAAAGGAAAGTGGAGTAGAGTATATCAGTCATCTCCTTCCCTTTGCTTTCATTTGCTTCCGTTTCTTGGCAGCTTTATTCTTCTTGCTGAGTTTGTTCTTCAGCCTGTAGAATAGAGATATTATATTGTATCAAAATCTCAAAAAAACCAAAAATGTACACCAAGCGAAAGGAACAACAACTTACGCTCCACTCATCCAAGGAGGATACGAACCGTCCGCTCTCTTCATAGTCTTCACATTGATTGTTGCTGTTTTCGTGGATTCTGGTCCTGTGTCGTCCATCTAAAAGAGATTACAGTAAATTTTGGGATTATTTGTGTTAGTTGAAACGAACCGTCTCCAATTTCTCGGTCCCTGGCGCATTCTTCACAGCTTCAGCTTCTTTTTCTGAAGGAGAGTCATACTCTGTCTCAAAAATAGTGTCCCAGTACGTGCGATTCAGGTCTTGCGCAGTCGCACCCTTGACTCTGCGCTGCGTCTACGACGAATTCCTCAGGCACATCTTTGGTTGAAGGCTGGTAGTTTGAAAAAAAAAACCAAAAAAATAGTCGCAGACGCGACGCAGGTACCAGCAAAGTGGTGCGAGAACACGAATCGCACTAGCGGGCGATACTGTCATTGAGACAAAGGTAACCGCTTGTATATTCGAGTTACTCATGCAAATACAAAAATGGATAGGTGACTATAGTTGAGGCAAATGTGTAAATGTAAGCAAATTCAGTGCATACCAGCTTGTGCTCGCTCGTACTCTTCCCTCCTGGCCACAGCAGCTTCAAGTAGCTTCTGCTCCTTGGGTGCTTTTTTCACTCGTGCTATCGTTCGCATTTTTCGCTTGAACTTCGACCGCAAACTCTTTGCCATTATTTCTGGAAACAACGTGGAAAACTTTTTTTTTGGCTCTGTGAGGCTGACGCAATAACTATCTAATCTGATGCAATATACGGCAGCAAAACAAGGGAGGAACCTCGTTGTTGTGCACTGTTATTCATTTTCTTATAAGATAAGATAGATAACAAAATTGGCCAATTCCCATTATATAAACCCAATCAAGAAGCAACAGTGGAATTTTTGCAATTATAAAAACTTAATCGCTGCTGATGGGCTAAATTATTTTCATGCAAATCCGCCCAGGACCTATTTCTTTATATTTTCGCACACGAACTGCAGCGGGTTTAGCGATTTGATGCCGGTTCTGTCGTAGGTTTTGGTGATCTTTTGTATCTTACTTCTTTTTCTCGCTTCAATCCTCATAGACTTTTGCAGCATTTACTAGAAACCTGTTTGTACCATAGTATTCCATATTTTCTCTGTTCCATTTTAGCGATTACATGCGTTTTCCTCTTTTATAATCATTTTCATGCAGTGGTGTGCAACTTTACAGGTTTTCCTCAAATCGAATGCTTTCGTGTTGTTGACCATCTGTTTTATTCTATTTGATTCTGGTAGTATGCTGCATGAGCTACCAGCTGTAATTTCGAAGGCGAAAGATTACAAATTAACGTTATCGATTCGTTAGCATATCTGTACTTCAACTGAAGACATTTTACTTGTCAAAATGACTGCCGTCAATAGTGCGTTAAACGGGAATCCGTTCGGAGCTCCTGGTTCCATCAATGACCCGTCAAAACAAGCACAAGTGAGTTTTTTGGTGTTTACTTTGCCTAAATTGCTCCTGTTTATTTTTACATCATATCTGCTGGTGTTTTCATTGCCTCACCGCTACAAAGAAGTTTCTCATGCTTTAGCATATATTTCAAGGAATTGTCATAGCAAAGGAGTAGAGATATTTTAATCAGTCTTTTTTCTTTTCGTTTTCTTATTCTCTTTCGTGTGATTCTTACATGCAACGGAAGCACGATTACAACGGAATTTCATATCACAGATCAGCAAGCTTTTTACCATTTATAACTCATTCTTATTTGAATCGCCAATGATCGATTGCTGAAAACAGCTTTTTTGGAACAAAGTAATCAATGAAAACTTTTTTTGCGTCTGGCCCGGGCCAGACTTCGCTCTAAAGCGCCAGCCCAAATTTTTCTGTCTCTTCACTTTCTCGTGTGAGGAGAGAATTAGGGAAATTTGAGCGCTTTTGAGCGCTTTTGATGGCCGGAGCCCTGAGTGAGCTGCGAAATGTTTACATACGCTGTGGTTTTGAGTACCTAGACAAACTGTCAAATTACCATGTTGCTGTCTGCTCATAGCTTCACTTATGCTGTAAGCATTCATTCACCTTTTGCAGCTTTATCACTACCTCGAGGCTTTGAAAACGGACGAGAATGGATGGCGCAAGTCAACGGACAACATCGTTGCAAACAATCTGAGGTGCTTACTTTCAATTATTTCTTATGCACATTCTACATTTGTTCTGTTTGTTGTTTTCCATCTGATGAGCGCTACATATTTCTTATGCTTCAGCACTGATGAAGAGCATTTTTTGCTTTTGCAAGTTGTCGAAGACTATCTATCCCGACGATATGCTCAAGCTGATGCTGATAGTGTCATGTGCATCCGCAAGCTACTCTCGCACTGGATTCAGGTAATTTTTGGCTTTCCACTTAGCGCACTTCTTCACAATTTGTTACGTTTTAGAAGCTCTCCACCCATCCAGAACAGCCGGTTTTCCTAGTAAATAAAATGGCACATATCTTTTCGTTAGTCTTTGCCGCAGATTTCCCTGATAGGTGGCCAAATTTTATGGATGAAATGTGAGATTTTCTCTCTATTCACTCTATTTTTTTCCTTGAAAAGTCAGTCGTTCTGGAAAAAAAAAGGTTTAGATTTCTTTCTCGTGGACTAGATAATGTTCCAATAGTAGTGTTTTATCTGAAGACACTTCTGGCAATCGACTCAGAAGTAGTGGATAGAGATATCCAGAGGACAAAGACCGTAAGAAGATCAAAGTGTAATCCTTTACTGTCAATCAGTTTATTCCTTTACAGGTCTTCGACCGTAACACTAAGATCAAAGATTTTATGCGTGATATTTGTATTCCGCAAATCGTGCAGAGTTGGTGGACCATTTTGGTATGTGTAATGATCATAATTATCATCCATTTTGAATGCTGTACGTTTCTGTGGCTCTAGTTTTATCGATTATATGCCTTTTTTCGAGTTTATGATGATGTCTATTCAGGAACGCTGCTCAGATGTGACTGCTCAGTGCCTCTGCCTTGATGCGGTTGCCGCATTTGTCGACTGGATTGACGTTGAACTGGTAGCCAACGATGTCTTTGTTCCGCTCGTCATTGCTCGATTAGGAAATAAAGACACATCAGAGGTAAAGCATAAAACTTGTATGAAGCTAAGAAACTAAACTTTTTGCGCTAGTTTACTTAGGCAATCAATAGGTTTTTGTGCATCTATCTCCTGTGCAATTAGCTATTGGTTTGGAGCGTAGAACTTGAGATACCATAGATCTCTGATTTGCAGTAGAACCCTTTTTTGTTCGAGAAAAGGTCTGGTTCATTTCAGGCTGCTGTAAGAGCTGTCTCAGCGTTGATTCAAAAAGGCATGCCAGCGTCGAAAAAACTTTCACTTGTAACAGCCCTCATGGAGGTGATGCGGAGTAACCATCTTATTTCTGTCAACCCGGTTAGTTTTACATCCTGCAACTTTGTTTTTATAAGATACTTGGAGATCCCGAAACCTTTCAAGCCTTTTTTCCTTGTTCTATCATTCATTTCATGGAGAATCTTCAATACAGCCTCCAAGCGTAAAACCCGTACAAATACACTTCCATTCGTAATTGAATTACATATCCAGAACAGCGACTACGAAGATGTTTTACGAGCTGGATCGCTACTGAGTGCTGTTGGAAGTGTTCTTATCGAGACCTATCACAAGTATGTTGCAACGTTTTGTAAAAACTTTATTGCAATTGCACATATTACAATTATTGGTGGATGTTCTGCTTTGTTATCCATGCCTGACGCATGCTTGTTCGCATTGCATTTTGCTCGGGAATCTGTTGAGATTGCCACAACCACTGAAGCTGAAACGCTCACATCTTCCAGTTTCCGTATCGTAATACCTGAATCAGGACATTGTTCAATCTTCGTTTATTTTGAAATATTGTCTAACAAATCTCGGTCATTTTTTCTCACCACATAATTCTTGCTCGACTACAACTGCCAGTGAGTGGTGGAAGTGTGCAGATGTTTACAGAGGGCGTAGTCGTTGTAGTGGGTGGAGGTGGCAGCGTGGGTAGAGTGAGCGCTGGTCCTCCCCCCGGTGCTGTCCCGAATAAGCTCAGTAGTGGGGCCAATGGATCAGGCGATGTGGTAGTTGTTGTCGTAGGGGGTGGAGTGGGTTCTGAAAGATTTTTTTTCGCAATGGACCGTATTAGACAGTTGTTATTTAGATGAGTCTTACGGGGGAAGTTGGAATCGGGTTGACCAAAACCTGGGAATATTGGTGAAGGTGCCTGAATTCATATCTTCAAAATCTCTACTTTTGACTTATAGAAATTCTTATTCCTCTCGAATAAAGAATATCGAACTGGAGTCTTGCCTGCGAAACTTGTGCCGCACTTTGTCCTCCAGTTATGAGATTCGGAGAAGCAGTACCTGGCGTAGGTGCCACTACAAGCAGACATTGCGCTACCTGAAATAGCTCATGTAGGATTTCGGAATATGATGTTTACTTTCCAGTTTTATCTTTCCATAAGGAAGTTATCCAATACTAAGCAATGTTTTATAATTGAATGATTAAGTGAGTAAAAAGGAATAAAGAGCTGAGCATTGCTGTATTCTAGAGCTAGAAAACGTGTATTCAGTTTTTAAAATCAGCTGAAGGAGCTTCGATTAATTGTTCCACTTTTTTTTATCACGATGATAAGAAAGACGGCAATTTTCTTCGAAGAGAAAAGTGGTTCGATTGTTCGATGGACTTTCTCTACCATCTGAACTGTATCTGCAACTTTTGACACATGCCATTCATACAAGTCGTTATCATGTCGCCTGTATTTCTTTCTTTTTCTTTTCAAATGTGAATACATGACACATATTTGGTTGCCTGAGCTGATTGCGGTCCCAGTAGTGCAGTTAAATAGTTACTTTGACGTTTGGATTGAGACAGCAACGAACAGTTCGAGCGGTGATTCTGTCTTACATGATTTTCTCGTCATAAGACGCAGTTAATCACAATTTGCGGAAAGCTTCTTTAGCGCAGCTATCTAGTTAACATTAAGAAGTTTATACATATAGAACGACTTATGGCTCACGTTCACGCAAAAAACGTGGATTTTATTGTATAAAGGTGATTAAGTATTGATTCAAGCTGCTCCTACCTCTTAAAACTGATGCAATTCTTTACTCACCTGATCTTGAATGATGCACATTTTTGGTGGGTCGCATATAAGAGATTGACAGGCGTAGACGAGGTCATGTTGTGCGAGTGACATTGAAACATAACATAGTAGTAGAGAAAGAAGTCGGAGAAACATCGAAGTGAAATGGCGAACAGCGCAGATTTTGGACACGATGACGATGTCGATCCGTTCCTGGCGGATGACCCCGTTATCCTAGCGTGTGTAGATAGAGACAGGATAGTGTGTTACAGTTTCAAAATGTTCGTTGGTCTTTTTCTCCTCTTATTGCGCGTGGGATACATCCGTTTTCCGCCGACCACCGCTAATTAGTCGTAAATGTCTCTCTCAGGAACTTGCAGCACTAATGGATTCTTCGGTTCTCCTGTTCAGTCTATTAGGGAAATTCTTTCTTTTGATAGCTCTTTCTTTAGCTAGTCTGGGAACTTACTTTGGTTCATGTACTCCGTTTTCTGGTTTATCAAAATATCCCGTCGCAATCTGTTTTTTTTTTGAGCATCTGCTTTCACACATTCGGTTCCACTGTTTAGATTCAATTAGTTAGTATGTGCAGGGTGTCTCAAAAGTAAGTACACCCTGTGAATCACCTATCGCTCTTCACTACTGTAGGGTTACGGTCGGAATTTGAAGAGGGTTTTGAGGCGTTAATGGCTACATTTTGCCCCAGCTGGATACTCGACAACTTCAACATCAGGCTAAACTGAGTCGCTGACTGTGATTACGAAATATGCTCCACACTTTAAAACTTTTTCACATAAAATATGCCAGATGAAGCGCAGTAACGTTTTTAGTGTTTTTCAAAATCTGATGAAAATCATTTCAAACGCTTGAGAAATCGTTGAAAGTTGTTTAATGAAATCAGCATGTCTGAAAACACAACTTAGTCACACAACTTTCCAGACTTGGAATCTTTTTTTTTTCAAACGGCTTATTTCATGATGGTGCTGTGTGCTGCAAGTTCTTACCGTAACCCTGATCCCATGAAGAGCGATGGATGATCCGCTCCAAAATGTACTTAAGCTGAAGCCTGTTTTCTGGGTACTCAAAGCTAATCAAAAGACTTTGCGGAAAGAGTGTTGTCAACAGTTAAAAAGTGTGTTCTTATTTTCGGGACACCCTGTATAATCTTTTTTAATATCCATTTTCAAAACGCACTCCATAATCAGATCTTTCAACGTTTTTTTTAAATTGTTGCTGTGATAATTCTGTCTGTATCGTGAGCTGATCTGATCGTTCTCATTCCCTCACGGGAATGTTTTTTTGATTAGTCCAATCGAGAAGACTTGGAACCTTTGGGAAGCGTGTTGTTGTCTACATTTATCAAAATTAGCAGTAATCAATACAATCCCAAGGTTTACAAATTTTCTACTTCACTTATAATTTTTATTCTACTAGGGAGATCTTACAAGGAAGAGTTTCCAAGTCAGCTCGACGAGCCTGGATGAGTCATATATCACCGTAACGGGCTTGAAACGCGTATTCCAAATCTGCTTTCGGTTTCTGCGGAACAACTCTACAAAAGAAGTTGTCAGCGTTTGAAAGTCCAAATTTGTAAATTCTTAAGTGGCGTAAAATTGGCGAAAGCTGTACAACATCACGTAAAAGTGGGTTTTCAGTTTTGTATCAAGAAAGTGATTACAAGGACGGAAAACAGCCAGTGGAAGTCCGTTAGGTGTTGTTTTAGAGCTTTTCGCTAATTTTATAAGCCACTTCAAATGACAAATTCAAACTTTCGAACCCTCATAACTTCTTTCGTAGAGTCGTTCCGCAGAAAACAAAAGCAGATTTGGAATCAGCATTGTAAGCCCGTTACGGTGATGTATGACTCATCCAGGTTAGTCGAGCTGATTGGGAACTCTTCCTTATTAACATTTTTTCTTCACTTACCTTATCATTTTGCACTTTGCTCTCTCTTTCACTGACCTTATCAGTTGTTTTCTTTTTTCCTGCGCTTACATGGCATTGCCCGAACAAAGAACTCTGTTGGCAGTTAATTGGCACATGATTAGTGGCGCTGTAACATTCCCATCGAGGCGGGCGGCTTGTCGATATAATGAGAGCAGTTGCAACTGTAAGAAGAGGGGAAAATATATGCAAAGAAGAGAATGACTCAACTTTGCCCTTATGCCCTTCTCAAAAAATGGCTTTGTTACATCTAGCTTTTTTACCTTTGTGCTCGTATCAAACTGGCCACTCAGCATTTGCTCAATCTCACTATCGATGCGGAAAAAGTTGTTGGATGAGTTTCCGTGCCGCCACTGATTTTTTTTTCATGCATCGCGCTTTCGTAATGCAAAAGGGGTCACCGGGTATCATGCCTGAGTGAAACTTGCATGCAAATTGGAACATGGCATAAAATTTTGAGGTTCAAAGCCGAGGATGCTGAAGAAGATGCTCAAAGATGTGTCGAAACTGTCGAGTCTGATATGGATTCGCTTTTGCTGGTCCTTGATAACGAAGATCCTGAATTGAGCGAGCTTGTCATCTATACGTTACGTTCATACGTGGCTCTGTTCAAGGAGAAGTGCATGGAAGAGGTGATTTTGTGAAACTTGAACACTTGTTCATTAACTGTCAGTCAAATTCCCTTGTTTCAGAAAGCAACCACAGTTCTATCAAGGATTGTCTCGGTATGTTTACGACGGTTTGTAATCAGTGAAGAACTTGATGTGGATGGTTTGGGCGAAGATGAGATTGAATTTGCTGATTATCGAAAAGAACTTCGCGGAATACTAAACACCATAGGGAACATGGTGAGACTTCTACAATTGTGTCAATGCTTTATAGTTGATTTTCTTCTTGTCTAGAGAGTCGATTTGATTGTGGCACCAATGGAAGCATTGGTGGCTGAGGTTGCAGCTAGTGGTGGCGGAACAGCTATGCCAATTGCAAGATTGGAAGCGATTGTACAGCTTGTGCATGGATTGGTGGAGATAATCCCGGTATGATGATTTTTTGTTTCTTTGTATGTTCTCTTTTCCGAATGTTTTCAGTTGCATTCATGAAAATTTTCAAGTTTTTTTGCCTGGAACACTGCGATTTTTTTTGTTGCCTTCCTACTGAACAACTTATAGGCCAACTTTGTGAACGTGAAAGAGGGATGGATGGGTCGTGCAGCTCAGTTACCGGTCAACCTTTTGACTTCCATGCAACTTGACGGACGTTCTTCGTCTGTGCATGTTTTGTATTTTGAGGTAACTTCATTTGCTTCCATGAGTTAAGATTTTTCATTTGCCTTTTTCTAGAATTTTCTTTCTTTTTTCTATTCATTTGAAAAGTTTTCTCTAGGAATCAAAGCAATATGATTTATCTGTCGATTTATCGTGTCGCGAACGGCATTTATTTCTTTTTCTTCTGTTATGATTCTTTCTGATGCATTGACATACTCATTTTTAGATCGCATGTAGGTATGAACGGTTGTTAGCTGCTCGCCCGCAACCGGTAATACCTCAAGTAGCTGCAGCATTCCTTGACGAAAGGTAAGATTTACAATATTTTTGTTAAACAGGCTTAGTAGCCTTGTGATAAAAGACGTTTATTGTTTTTTTTTAATTTTTCTCCTGCCTAATTCTACTATGGAAGAAAATAATTCGAATGTTTTTAGAGGTATCGCATTCCGTGTTGCTCGCGTACGTACTCGCATCGTCTATCTGTTCTGTCGGTTCGTTAAGGCACACAAAACCGTGCTAAGCCCTCTAGTGTCCGAAGTAAGTATTGATACTTGATGATTTTGATTTTGTAAAGATGGCTCACTGCCTATGTCAATCATTGTCTATTTACTCCTTCCTAGGTCATCACGCGTCTAGCTCCTTTGCTAGCTATGTCGCCACAATCCGATCAAATGTTGACGGCAGACGATCAAGCGTTTATCTTCGAAGCAACCGGGACACTCATCGTATTCGGCGAACTGGGAGTAGAACAAAAGGTGAAGGAAAATATTTTTTGCTATTTATGTAAATGAAAAATGGGCTTTAAGGCGCTGTACATCGGGGAATTGGCCAGCAAGCTCGGGGAGCGCTTTTTGACAGCCGTTACGGAATTGGAAGCAGCGAAAACGGCTAATGATGCGGCGAAAATACAGATAATCCAGCAATACATGACTAATATTGTTGGATACTGCAGGTGAGAAAATTAAGTTCAGCTTTTTTTCCTTTCATAAAAATTCAGTGTGTTTGAAACGTTCAATTTCTGTCTTTTTTTTTCGGAATAAAAGTGGCCTAGCTGCTTGATTTTCGAGGAATAGACTTTTTTGCTGATTTTTTTCGTTTTACAGTCGCCTTTCGAAAGCCTTCAACAATGCGAATTCCATGCAATCCTGCAGATGTGTAGACGTTTACATGCGGTTACTCAATGTAAGTTCTGTTTGAACAAAGTTTTTTCGCAGCGCCTCTCATTGTGACTCATTAGTGTAAACCCTTGTCCATTTGTTTGTTCACCGGCCTTTATCTGTTGTTATCGCATTTCATCTGCGCAAATGATGTGCATTAGACGGCGAATAAAAGGGAACCTTCGATGATATTAATTTTTAGCTGTTCTTGGGCCATTTAACGGCGGAAAATTCGTTTTTGTTGGAGTCTGTTCGGCAGCTTGCACACAGGCTCGTGGTCTGTTTGGATTCTGAACTGATTCCTATTTTGCCAACACTGATGTCACATTTGGCTGCGGTGAGAACTTTTCATAATTATTTTTTTTTCAATATTTCTTCGTATTTTACAAGTTTTCATTGATAATGGTGAAACAGTATGAACTCCATGCGCCAGCATACACCAGACGTCAGTTCGAGTTTTGAATGGGCCTGCTATATTTACGTCTATTTTGAATTTGCCACTCTTCTTCCTTTATTTTGTCAAGCAATTTTGCTTAAATCTTATATATAAAGCTGAATGTCTGTTTGTCTGTCTGTCTGTCTGTCTGTCTGTCTGTGTTTACGTATGTTCCGAATAGAAAATTCCATTTCTGAACCGATCGGGACCAAACTTAGCACACATACACTTCGGGCCCCGTCGAGTGTCACAGTCCACTTTTCGTTATCGATCGATGTCGATTTTATCGATTTTTTGCAAAATTTGAGCTAGGGGGCTTGGAGTTGGCACAGGGGGGTAATCGAGCATGCTGATTATCCCCGTGGGGGTGATCAGCATGCTCGATTACACCCCTCTGCCAAATTCCAGCCCCCTAGCTCAAATTTTGCAAAAAATTGATAAAATCGACATCGATCGATAACGAAAAGTGGACTGTGACACCCGCCGGGGCCCGAAGTGTATGTGTGCCAAGTTTGGTCCGGATCGGTTAAGAAATGGAATTTTCTATCCGGAACATACGGGGAGCCGGGTAAGCCAGCTAGTGCAGTATAAAAACAAAGTCGATTAATCGGTAATAGCTCCAAGTTTATCGTCGTTTTAATGCCTTCTTAGGTTTCCACCGATTTGGACAGCATGAATCATCTTCTGATCCTCAGCCATCAGATCGTTGCGAAGTTCAAGGTAATGACTGCGTTTCATATATTCATTTCCCTTTTGATAATACTATACACTGCAGAAAGATTGCTTGCAATCTGGTGTAGATTTTGGTGCTATTCTTGCGTCGGCAGCTAGACTTTCCATAGAAACCGAACCTACGCCAGCATTACGCGCTCAAGGTGAGATTCGACTAATTGTTGTCCCGCTTAGTTACAGTATCACCAAATTTAGATGAGGCTGTCTACCGTAATCTGATCTACGTCCGGCGAGCATTCTTACAGCTATTCTATACATCAGCAACATCTGACATGTTATCGGAAATTGCAGCAGGTATGTTTTCATTTTTATTAATTTGTTTTGCCTTTTAGGCTATTATATCAGCTTTTTTTGTTATTTCGAAATTTTCCTTTTTGGTTCAATTGATCAGGCTCGCTAACATCGCTGAATATATCGAAGATAGCTAGTAGGTACTCAAAGATCTTAGTAAGCCGTTGACAGCGGTCGCGCGATGGATTTTTTTTGAATGCGCGATTTTCTGCAATCCCCCTCCCTCCCTACCCTCTCAAAGTCTATTTCCGTGACCTAATTATTATATTTAGGACCCTTGTTTGATGATCTCCAACAAGCAGCCACACAGTTGGCTCTCAGCAGCGACCAGTCTTGTCAGAAGCTTGCACTTGCCACACTTAGCCGAACATCATCTGTTAACACGCAGTGGTGGCAGAGAACATTGCGAACTGCGCTGGAGGTTCCCTCGCTATCGCACATAAGTTCATCGGATGCTGGGAGCTCAGTGGTGAGTGGTTTTTGCTGTTTGTTCAATTTTTTTTTAAATTTTCGTTCCCCTTTTTATTGTTTATTATAAAGGTGGTGCATGAAGTTGCTTCGACACTGCTTGCTCTTCGTCAAGCCCATCCCGAGCAGTTCGCCGTAGATGTGCAATCTTTGATGCCTGGCGAGTTGGGCCTAGAATTGCTATCCATTTTAGAAAATTACAAATCTCGAGCGTTGGATAAGCAATTGCTAACCATGTATGACAAGATTAGGGTAGCACAACAGCAACAATCTTAGCACACCGTGATGGGGTTCTAGTACTCATGACTGTTACCATCTTCTCTTATCATGTACAATGCTATCTTTGTGGCCTTCTGCTATCAAATCTTGGAGATTGTGATTTTGAAAAGTTCCGCTGATTTATCTGGATTGATCATAAATACGGTCTGCATTTGAATTATGGGATCGGTTCTTTTTTGCTCAAATGCGCTTAGACTCTATTAGTCGAAAAATTTTGAATTGAGAAGCATCTGAAACAGAGAAACAGAAAGGAAAAACATTGCATATTCCTTGTTGAGCAAAAAATTATGCATGTTCCTCTTGATCTTTTCCAACAAATCGAAACGGAATTTTCAAAACCACTTCTCCATTAATATACTGCGTTTAGTGTTTGTCCATTTCTCCTTCTCAGATAGCTAATATGATGTAATCTTCGATTGTAAGCAATGCTCTTTCAGTATTTTTTCCATCCATGTCCACTATGTTTTCCCATGTGCCCTTTTTTTTTGAAATCTTTGCTTTCCTGCTCTTTCTTTGCCTTTCATGTATTTGAGCATTGGGAATTTCGCCAAGTTATCGAGTACTTTCGCCCATCACTAATCATTGCATCGCGCCGAGTAATTTGTGTGGCTTCCCCATAGGTGATATTTTCCGTTTTCTGTTTATCATGTAACCAGTGAGCAAAGAAAACCGATTGTTAATGTGTGCATACAAGAAAGAATACGTATATTCCCTTTGTTGGTTATTTCCTTCTTTTCTTCTTCTCAACTGCGCTTGAGTTTTCCCTACCACATGCGCTGTTTTTATTGTTACGTTGCTAATATACTGTGCCTCACATATGGAAATGTTTGGTGTTATTCCTGCATGTGGACATGTCATTGTTGCACTGTTTTAATTCTGGTGTTACATCAACCAAGTGACCCTTTCTATTTGAAATTTACGGTTGTGTGTGGAAAATTTCATTTATCATCTGAAAAAGCAGATTTTTAGTTCTATCTTGTATGCCCGGAAAATTTTTATCAATGCTACGTCAGTCATGCTTGTTGTTTTCTAAGCACTTCGCTTTCAGTTTATTGTAAAAATGCGTATAAAGTTTATAAATTTTATTGCCAAATGATTTTTGTCATGACAAAAACAACTTGCAGTTCTCATTAACAATGACAATATATTAGGTTGTCCCGAAAATTTTGTCCGTTTTTTCAAGCCATTATAGAACCACACATAAAGACCTGAATGGGTTTCCACATGCATTCGATGCTTTTCCTTCTCTTTCTTAAGGACACATTTTAGAAATGAAATCTTTTACGCTTTTTTGATAATTGCCAAAATTCTCCACCCGTCAATTTTATCTGCTCAAAGTTAGGCTAATTTTGAAAATTTTCATTCCAAAGTTTCGGAAAGGGTTAAGTATGCATTTAATAGAGCAATTCTCGGACTATAAGGTTATATTTTTAGATTCTCCCAATCTGTTGTTGTTAGCTTTAAACAATCATTTCTTCAGAGGTTTCGATTTTTGACAAAGTCATGAAACACGCAACTGCAGCAAATCCATGAAATCTTTTGAAGTTTCTGCGAATTGAAACATTATTCTTCCTAAACATTATTTATGCAACATAATCAAGTTCAATTTGCTTCGAAAAAGCAGCTTTTTGGAATTTTCGGTACTTTTACGTGGTAAACGTAATCGAAAAGCCGCGGTTTGTATCAAATAAATAATTATAACGGGCTTGGTAAACGTGGCCCATGTAATCTAAAATGAATACAATGTAGCCAAAGGTTTGCTCTACATAACAGTTACCAGCGCTCTTTGAAAACGACTGGATAAAATTTTTTAAAATTCAGGAAATATTAGGTCGTTCCGAAAGTAATGTCGCTTTTTTCAAACGTATGCCAAATCTCGTGGAACAAAGATGTGTAAGAGATTCTGGTAGCATTTGGTGCAGCGTTTCATTCTCTTTCTAAAGGCTATGAAGATGTTGCAACATAATCAATGAGCTTTTAGAAAAGAGTCAAAATCTGCGACATATGCTTTTTGAGATGGCCAAGTTTCACAATTTTTCTAAAATTTTATAACAAACCTCAGAAGGAGTCCAAGTAATGGATGGATGGAGCAAACCCTAGGGGAAACAGCACAACTTTTTTCTACTTTCCAGAGCTCGTCATAATTTTTGGACAGGTTTTTTGAGGAACCACAGAATTTTAGCAGGCTCGTCTCAGACAAAAGTGCATCAAACGCCAACTAGTCTCCGGATTTTAAAGCTTACAAAGATGGATTATGGTTTGGCAACAATTTTACAAACCAAACGAGCATTAACCGCTTCGGCTTAGCCACTTTCGAAAATTTCGGGTACACCTTGGGGTGCTATGGAAAAGTTGAATCATGATGATTTTATCCCGGAAAACTTGATGAATCGGAAACAAAAAACGACCTCTGGAAAGAGGAGAAAAAGCTGCATCGAATGGCACCCGGGTCCCTTGCCGGTTGTTGTTCTGTGAGGTTTGACTTGACTAAATGTGGAATTTGATGGCATTGAGAAATATTGTAGAAGCTCTGAGAAGCAAGCTAAGGAAAAGAAAAAATTACTCTGTGTTCTATAGTGTTTGCTCTATCTACCTGCCACTTGTACTTTTTCGGAGATTAGGTACAAAAGTTTAGAAAAATAGCCGAACTTGACCATGGCAAAAAGCATGATTCGCAGATTTTGGTAATTTTTCGAGAGCTCATTAAACATTATGCAGTGAAATTAGAACCATTAAAAAGAGGATGAAATGCTGCATCGAATGCTCCTAAGATCTCTTGAAAATGTTAATTCCATGAATAGTGGCGTTTATTCGAAAAAAGCGACATTATTTTCGGAACGACCTAATATTTGGCGTTACTGCTGGGCTGCTCAAAAAGCCATGACGATAACGTTGTAAAGACAAGGTAAATCAGAAAGCAAATTTAGCTGTCAGAAAGAGAATAAAAATCTGATTCAAATGGTACCTAAGTCTTTCACGGATTGTTGTTTTGTAAGTTTTGGTGAATGATGAAAAAAACGGACAAAACTTTCGGGACAACCTAATAGATCATCAATAAGTATTGCCGAAGTGGGCTCTGTAATTTTTCATTGTCAAGGCGAGGAAATTCTTCATAAACAATGGAAATGTGATGGTACTACCCGTCTTGAAAAGTCGCTCTATTGAAAAACCGCGGGAATTCATTTATTTATTTATTTATTTAAAAAAAAAGACTGAAAACAAAGGAGCGGGGACGGTGATCAGAGAGTCTAGACATATCTCTTTTAAAAGTATCGTCGACTCATCACACCCAGGACAGGGCGTCATTACGGACTCGTCGGCGTCTTGCATCTCGGCTCTTTCACCCCTCTCGCCGTCTGCTGTCTCTCCTATGCAAGAACTATCTTAGTCGGACGCAACCGCGTCCAGTATGTTCGTACGAAATTCGCCTATATGAAAAACTGCCAAGCAAATGAGCTAACTTAATCTTCTTTTCAGTAGATTCCATATTTCATGTGAAGAACCTGCTAGATGACGAGAGTTCCAACAATAAATTATAACTGACTTGTATGCTGTTCAAAAAAACCAGGTATCTAAAAGCCGAGGCATCCTGGAATTCTTCGGGTTACAGTGTGGCATTTAGTGCATAATCGTGTCATTTTCCCAATAAGAAAGCGATTACAATAGCTCCCGAAGTTGGATAGGAAAAATTGATTTTATCAACCGCTACGAATGAAAATCGTATTTTGACAACGAAGACGGTCTGATAAAACTATGGAAAATCAAACAAAATCACTCATTCGAGGCGGGCATACTTCGCGCGACTTCAGTCGCGACGCGATTTCGCGATATTTCAACTGTCCATAACTCGCTGTAAACACATTTCAAATGCACAGAACTAGGGCACTTCATCAATCCACGTAAGTTATACACACTATGCATGTGCAGTTTGCTAGTGTTGGAAAGACTTCTGGCGAATCGCCAAATCGCGTCGCGACTGAAATCGCGTGAAGTATGCCCGGCCCTTTAGGAATCACGGGAGTACGGTTCTTCAGTGATCGAAATTATGAGAGACAGCCTTATTGTGTAGATTTTATGCTTTATTAACCCTTGAGCTGTTTTTATTCTAAAAATACGAATATTCATTGAGTTTCGAGGCATGCCACATTTTGTCGCAGCCTTCACGTCAAGGTTATTCATTGAAATTTTTTAAGGAGATTGAATGACGAGAATTCTTTATGTTTCGAGTGTATCATTGACTTTTTAAAAACACGCGACTTTTGACTACCATCAGAAATAAGTTTGGGCTCCCGACGATTCCGTCGCAGATAATAAGCCGTGACGTTCTTTTGAAGATTACGCTAAGTGATCAAAAAATAGCTTTGAGCAAATGACAGATTTTGCACACGCTCTCGCGCCTTTAGCCCTCGATTCCGTGCAGTCAACTATAACTTTTGAATTCAGGCTTCGAAGACGGCGTGGACGCCGAAACGTTAGCCAAATAAGCATTGATCATACCACCTTGGCAAGCTCAGCTCAGCAAGAAATATTATAGCTATAATTAGTTTGAGATGCATATTTGAGTGCCGTTGCACCATTTTGATCGCTAACAATTTTAGATAACTATTGGAACAGATATCGCTTCTCGGCCTTTTGGCTAAGATCAAAGTTTAGTTTCTATACTTATTGAATTACCTTCGGTGTCTTGAATGGTCTCCTTAAGAGCAGCATCCACTCAAAATCTATTCACTCCATAATGCTACTTATTTTACTACCAAACCCTAAAAGTATGCCGACCGCGTTGGTCCGGTCCGCTAATGTTGCCTACAAAAGGAGATTATGGACCAAATCCTTTTTGCATTTCGTCCTTTTTTTGCGCTCCGCCCACCGACGGATTGCCTCGCGACGTGTTCGGACATGACAAGCAACGTCGAGACGCTAGCTTCTGATGTGGCACTGTTGCACACGACAAGGTTACCTGTGCTTACGACGCGACCAGCGCCGGGGCACTCGTCCACTTCTGCCAAATTAGGGCTTCAGAAAGGGGCAATTTTGAAGTTTTCTGGTGATCTGAACCTCATATCCGAGATCAGCGCCACGGAAAGGCCCGAAACAATAAAAACATGGAAGACGAAGTTTTCGGTGTACGCTGCCTTTGAGGTTATTTGATTTTTGGAGCCGAATGAGGTTGCGAGCTTTCTCGCACCTCACCAAAGGGGATGAACAAATTTAGAAATCATATTGAGAAGAAAAGTCAACTCTCTGATGTATCATGGAATAGTTTATCTGGAAGCAAGTATTTTCTAGAAGCCCTAGTCAGTGCTTGGAGCAGTGTTTGTCGTTGAATTCGTTGAGCACATGTGCTAACAGTTCACCCATCCTGGCTCCTAATCAAAAGCAGTCTGAGCAGATTTCAAGCTTGTTGATCAATCTGTAAAGGATATTCGTCGACGACTGCCCCGACTCGTGCAATTACACCACCGTGGGCGCGCCTTTTTGGAGCCTTTCCCAGCTCGACAGTACCTGCAGCGCGCTGGGACTCAATAGCTCGCAGCAACACTGCCCTTTAACCTCTTTTTCTTAATTTAAGCATTTCATATCGTTTTTTTCTTCCTACTTTTTATATTTAGGCAGTAATTCGTTTCCCCTTTCTTTTAGTTTCTCTTGATGGTCAAATATCCTGCGTTCTACTTCATTGAATACTGAAAAGTAAGGGAAAAACTACCTTGGGACATTTCCTGAATTAATCTCTTGTTTTACGTACGAAACATTCATTTTCGAAGTCGTGAACATCGCACCGGGCAAAGTTAGGAGGAAACATGTGCTTTGTTCATGAGTAATAGTGGTTATCATGCATCTCCTTACATGAGATCACTCGAATGTTTATTTCCCACGTGGTGTCCCTGCTATAAGAGTGCTGAAGCAACCATTTCAATGGTCTGCCCTAGGAAACATGTCAAATCATTGTAAAACATCGAAGAAAACATGCAATTCTGAACATGCCATGATAACCACCACTGCAACTACGAAGAAAGCTCATCTTTCTTCTAACTTTGCCCGCGGCGATGGACTCACATAGTCATTAAAGTGTATAACTGCCTGAAACGAAAAATAAGAAAAAAAACGATGTAAAATGTCTAACAGACGAAAGAGGTTAAAGGACAAGGATGCTGCGAGCTCTCAAGTCCCCGCGCGCTGCAGCGTACTGTCAAGCTGGAAAGGCTCCTAAAAGGCGCGCCCACGGTGGTGTAATTGCACGAGTCGGGGCAGTCGTCGACGAATATCCTTTATGTCAGATGCTTATGCCAAGGAGTGCAAACAGCTGCTGCTTCTGGCGTTGACTACGTTATGGAAGGTATCCAAGATCACATTGCAAAAGACTGATCGACATGAAGACTGAATCTGCAATATGAAGCTGATGCTGACAACGACAAAATCAGATATAAAGAACTAAATAAAAGAAGAGTGATAACCTTCGCCTTTTCACATAAAACATCAATATTATTGCTCAGGATTTCAACATTTAATAATTTCCTTAATCGAAAGTGATTTCTGTCCATTCATCCACTGTTTTCACCAGCAAAAATACTTAGAATGGTTGCTTTCTGCAATTGCACACTTTTTTAATCTGTCTTGGAGCGAGCTAGCTGCAGTACAGTCACATCGGCGAATGAAACGTGACAAGAAAAGGTGTCAGAGAGATTGCACAGAGAAAAAAGGTGTTGGATTTTTCAAATTTGCAACTACCATAGTAATAGTAATGTAGTAAAGTTACATGAGCCCGTAGTTAAACCGTGAATATACCAGAGCAGCGAACGTAAAGCGCATTAGTGAAAGGGAGAGGAGGGACCAACATCCGCAACATGGGTTATGCGAAGGCCATGCATGACAATATAAAATTATGTAATTTATAGAACGGAAGTAGCCCTCATACTAATACATGTCAGCAATACTTCTGTAGTAAATGGATGATAGCATACTGCCAAACCGCTTGGTATTTGATCGTAATAGAGAAGAAAAAATAGTGTGAAGTAAGGAAAATGCCTGCTAATCTTAACGTGAGTCTCAGACACAACCAAAACGTTGGTACCGAGATGTGAGACATCTTTAAATGAAACTTGATTAAGTACCAAATGCATACAGTGGCACTTGTAACTGACCAAGTAATATCTATGGTCTTCAAGAAAATGATATTATCGCTGCAAATACGCAATACCCTTGTTTTGCTAGCAAAACACGAATGAAAGCATGTACGCAGTTAACCAACATTCGAGCTGCTCCCATCAAGATTTGTGACCTCCAGCATTAGCACCATGAAATGGACATGAACGTGGGTTTCTCACCCTAAATTAGTCAGTCAAAAGCTACCCTACCGGCCGATATCTAATGTTAGGTAGCGAAAACAAGCAAATAGCAGCATCGATAACATTCAAGTTGTGATAATCAAAGAACTGCAGTGAATGTCCGCAATTGAAGCACTTCAACGCACTCTTCATTTCGAGATCTTTACTATAGTGATACACGTGTAAGGCAAATCATCGGAAAAAATATCTCGCATAACAAATGTGTTAGAAAATGGCAAAGTGTAAAAAAGAACCCAAAAGATATAAAGCCGCATCAAAGCTTCGCGTCAATCTCACTCATGATAGACTTGAAGTTTTCGTACTGTTCCCGAGTAAGGCTGATACCTTTTTTGCCGGGACGAAGCTCTCCAGAGCCCTAAAAATGATGCTTTGGAAGTCTGTTCTAATATGCATCCGGTAAGTAACTGCAAAACCAATGTGTGGTTTAGAAAAGCATCTAAGAACAAAAGAATATAATTTGTAGAACATTCAAAGCACATAAAACATCAAAAATATGGATAAAATATGCAAAAGCCGAACCTTGTCCATGTAATATTCGCGTACATCTATAAGAGATTTTCCGCGGAAATTTCTTACATTGACGTAACGCATACTGCCTATCTCGATCATCTAAATGATCAAACCTATTATTATGCCCGTAAATAAAAAAGCTCGAACCTCTTCGCCATCGGCATTTTTCACACGATTACCACCACCTTTCGATTTCTTGATTGGCGTTTTATCGATCACCCCTTCATCTGAGGACGAATCACTTTGAACTCTACGCTTTTCCTGCTGAACAATAACCGAAGTTATGAATCGAAATGACAAAGAGAACGTCAAAAATTACCTTCTTCTCTTTCTCTTTCTTCTTATCCTTCTCTTTCTTATCACTCTTGCCATTCCCTGCATCTTCCTTCTTTTGTATCTTGTCGTCTTTTTTCCCAGCTTTTTTCTCTTCTGGTTGCTTTTTGACCTTCTTTTCAGGCGTAGGGGAATCACTAGCTTCTAATGACGAATCGGACATGTCTAGTCAGCTGAAAAAGGAAAGATCAAGCGAAAAGCAGAGCACATTAACCATAGATAAGCGATTTGGATTTGAATTATCAAAGCGGACGCTCAAAAAGTTTCTTTGCTCGAAACTCTAGCGCGTTAGTGGCGCGCGGGCAACTGTCATCTATGTAGCGCCCGCGACGTAATAGGCCAGCCTTTGGACCTTGGACTCCATCAACACCACTTCGTATTCTCAACTATATTCTCTTTCTCTGTATTCTCTACTATATTCCTCTGCCCCTATATTCTCTACTAAATTTCCTTTTTCTGTATTCTCCTGAGGACGGGCTTTATACTACAGCGTCGCCGCGCGCGACGTCGCACTTTCGCAGACTTGGGTCAAACGTCGCGTATGCAAAGTCCGGAGTAACACCAAAGCATGTGCAGAATATAATTTCCTTAAAAGTTCATTCGTAAAGGTAGACGCTGTTTTGGTTGCGAAGCGAAGCACTCTTAAAGGCACCGTCCACCCAGATTCTCGACTCCCAGGTTTTTGTCGTTTCACGGCCTTCTCGCGTCCCTGATTCCAAATATGAAGTCGAGAATCCGTGAAAACCCCGACAATCCCCATTCCGGAGAGCCCACAGGCCAGCTTTCCAGAACGGTGATTGGATGAGCGCGCATAAATGGGCGGGCATGGATGGGGGTCCTCATGCATCTTCGTTATTCCGAAGCGATTTTCTCGCTTCCGAAGCGGCATATTGCGCCGCGACTTGGGCATTGGGTTGATAGGAGGTCCTACTATTATATGCTGCCAAAAGCTCAACACCCTCAACTTAGGGTGGACGGTGCCTTTAAGCGTAATACAAATTACTTTATGAGTGACCAGTGCGTCACCTCTGCTTCGCAGAGGCTCGCACTGGTTCTACTCTATATATCTTACTTATTCTTGCCTAATAATGGCTTTGAAGCTCACCGCGAAATGCTGACTATCGCGAATAAAATGTAAACAACTATTCATTCTAGAAGCTTTTTTATGTAAGATCGGTGATTTCGCGTGGATGTAACTTTTCGCAGAAGAACAAATGCAAGTTTGAATAGGTTTTGAAACTTTTTTTGGCTTGGTAGTCGCCATGAGGACAATTGTTAAAGTGAGCTACATCTCTATGCAAAAATCTTCTCAAATGCTCAGGTAAATCCATGGCGGATTGACCATTTACGCGAACACTTCTTTTTGGCGTCGTTTCCGTAAATTAGCAAACCTTTGGTCACTTTTTGGTCCAAAGTCCATGACTTACACATCAACCTGCTAAACACATCCACGGCTTTGCAAAAAGCGTTGTTACGGACCCAATTTTGCGGGCCAGAAGCTAAGTGGATCCGTTTGACGCGCAAATTCTGAGGGACCCACCCAGCGAATCCGTTCGTGCTTTTGCATGGTGGAGTTCTACGTTGGTAGCATGCGCTATGCAAAATTTGAGCTCTGGATGTTGGCTGGAACCCGCTGTATGAATTTCGTTACAGACAGACAGACAGACACACACACAAAGTCACGTAAACACCCTTAGCCCGTTATTATAAGTTATGATACTTCGTTTTGCGCAGTTATACCTCAAAACTGCATCGCACATATGTCGATTGAACAATCGAGCATCAAAAAAAAAACATGAGAAAGACGCGTATAGGCGAAACCTGAACAAGCGTTTCTTCCCGAGTGTTGAAAATTCGAAAAGTGCGACTCAGCTGCGCGGCGTCGCGACGGCGGAAATCACCGCGTTGGGGTAGAGGACATTAGGTTGCCGATAGCTCCACCCGCGCGGACAGATAGCATGAGACAGTAACGCTGAAGGCGCGCGAATTGTTGCAGTTGTCCGTGTGGCCTCCCCTTCCGGGGGCCTAATGTCCTCTACGCTATAACACCATGTCGACATTCTCCACCATTCTGTATTCTCTGGTATTCTTCTCCCTCGTATTCTGATGTATTCTCTACCCTACGGCTGTCGGAGAGAACGAAAAGTCCGAAGAGCGAGAATGCAGACAGTCTGTAGACGCGACGCAAAATGGTGGCGATGCAGATGCGGATCAGTCTTGGCTCCGATTTGGGACAGACTGTCGATTCTGGATTCCTTGGAAAGTGGATGCTGTGTGCTATACTTGGGGAAATTCGAAATTTTTTTCGAATATTCGAATATCGAATATATTCGAAAATTGAAAATTTCGAATGCTCGAATATCGAATAAAATTCGAAAATCGAAATTCTCGAATATTCGACTATCGAATATTATTCGAAAATGAAAATTTCGAATCGAATAATATTCGAATATCGAATATCATTCGTTATTCGAATTTCGAATATTATTCGGTTCTCAAATGTTATTCATTTTCGAATATCATTCGATTTTCGAATGCTTATCGAATAATTCACGTCATTTAGACTGACTATGAAAGGCCAAAACATCTAAGAATAAATTGTTTCATGTAAGTGTTAAGAATGGACACTTTCTTATGTTACGATTTAAGATGGAAAAACGGTTTAGTCGTGACGTGAAGAGACTTAGGAACCTAAAGGCTACTCCTGTGACGGTTGTGAAGAGATTTTTCGTACTTCTAAGAGGATTATATACCCTCACTGAGAGTTGCGATTGGATATATCGTCCCCTCCACAGATCGTGCTACCCTTGTGGCGTCGCGGACGTGCCACCTGTGACTAACACATTGGCAACGTTGGCAGCAACACGTTGGCAACATGCAGCAACATGTTGGCGTGGCCAAAATGTTCTACCAACATGTTGGGGCATGTTGCAAACATGTTGTTGCCACGTTGCCAACATGTTAGCCACACGTGGCAGGTCTGAGACGCAGAGAAAGGGTAGCACGATCTGTGGAGGGGACTATACAGCGGTCCCAACAGTATTTAGATCGGCTGACATCAACTTAGAGTATGGGGCGATTTATCAATCGCTTCTCACTGTTGTAATACCGTGATTGAAGCGGGTTTCGAAACATCAAAAGCCATTTCCCCAAGAAAAAGAATCAAAAGGGCCGAAAATCTTGCATTAGACTTCTAAAGACTCACTTTATGTAGAATTTGCCCTCAACCGTAATGCTTTTTCCAAAGCTTACGCCAGGTACACAGTAAACAAGTGTTTTGCAACGCCTTTTAAAAGTGTGATTGCCATTTGAGAAGCTTGAAAACTCGTGCGTAGTAAAATTAGCATACGTAAAAACACTGCTGCACAGATTTTAGACCTTTTTTGGTGACAATTTTTTTGGATGTCTTGTTTTGCAGCTGGTCTATATGCTGAAGTTTCCTACTGTGATAACACTCAACAAGAAAAGCATGGGTGATTCGTTTTCTGCTTTATTTATAAGCTGAAGCCATCCCTACTGGATGTTACCCAGAAATTGGCAACAGACTTTGAGAATTAGCGTTCAAACGGTGTGTAGATATGCTTTTAAGACACCCCGTATACGCTATGCATATCGAGTTTTCAAGTATTCGGTGCTTATCGAATTTTTAGTTGATTCTTATCGAATTTCCGGATTATTCGGTGCTCAACGATTATTCGAATATTTGATGGACAATGATCGAATGATCGAATGAATGACCCTCGAATATTCGACTATCAAATAATATTCGAAAGTTAAGACTTTCGAATATTCGACTCTCGAATAATATTCAAAAATGAATATTTTCGAATATTCGATTATCGAATATATTCGAAAACTGAAATTTTCGAATATTCGACTTTCGAATCATTCGCATTCGAATGACTTATTCGAATGATCGAATAATTATTCGATTCGGTCCCAAGTATACTGTGTGCCTTGAACAAGTTGCTCGGGAAGATTCGTACGGCAACGAGAGCAGACAAACTGCAGGGGGTTCCGAAAGTATGTGCACTCATTTAACACACAGGACGCGAGGTTTTTCTAAAAAATGATTGGTCCGAACGCGCCAAAGGGTTTAGCGATTTAAGGACTCCCCATTAAAGATGACCAGTACTCGTGAAATCAAAGTTTATATCGCCTGCACCCGAGAAAAGTTTTCGCATGGGTACCATCAACTAAGCTGCCTTCGATCGTTCCAACATGTCAACTTCGAATAAGCGCCATGCATCGAAGTCAAGGAGTCAAAACGATTTAAGGCAGCTCTTGTTGGTACCTATGAGAACCTCTCTGGGGCAAAAACCATGCACTGTTGGATCCTTAATGTCTTCCAACGGAACTTTTGTCGACATTCAGGTTTCATTTCTTAGCACTAGCGACAATATAGGCTTACACTATGGAAAGAATCACCAATTTCTTTCATTTCTCTGGGTTAGGAGCATACGACGCGTTTGTTGATCGCTGCAATCTAGACAGTGGCTTATGAACGAAGTATTACAGTGAAGTGCAAATCTCATACTTAATGTCAGCGACTCTGGTTAACCCAATGCCAAAGATTAGAGGTTGTTTGGCCTGTTTTCAAGACGAATTAAGCTCTTATTCAAAACCCTCTTTAGAGTTTCTTCAGTCTACAATAGCATTAGGATTTGTTCCATAGTGTAATCTAGGTGAAGCCAGCTCTGGGGAAGGTACTTAACGATCTGCGAAAGTCTTGGTGGAAAGAGTGATCCACGATCAAAGTGTATACATACCGTTGGGACACCCTGTATAGTGCAGTCTCAGGCTTCGAAATACCTCGCGCGATTCCAACAAATCGCTATGGTCATCAATTTGCCAATCACTGCGCGCAGATCTCGGTGCATAGGCGCATAGCTTCGTAACCTGGTGTGTGTGATGTGTGCGTTCATATCCTTCTTATAAGAGTGCCCTACGAAGAAATGTAAAAGATCTAGCGGTGCCACGTGCAAGGTATGACAGTGCCTTGCACACGGCACCGCTACGATCCTTTACAATGCTAACGAATCAACAATTGAATATGTAGTTCGTTGTGGTGTTGTTGGGAAATTTTCTCGTAGTTTTTTGTTGTTAAGTTTTGTTATGAAATTGATGTGGTTTTTGTTAATAAATGTGTAGTTTTTGTGATATTAACGTGTAAAT